TGGGCTCAGATACCTGCATGTCGGCTAGAGTCTCTAGAGCTGAGCCTCCGGAGGAGTTGTTTGCAGTGGGCATTCTGCGGGCCCTTTGCGTGTGCACACGGCTTGCGAGGACTCTGGGACTTGGGATCTCCCTGGACAGCGCCGGCCCGGCGCTGCTTGGCAATGGGTACTGTGTGTTCACTAAGTCTGCGAAGCACCGCGCCTGGCGCTGGTGTTGTCGCGCCGGCAGCTGGTGCGGCTTTTGTGAGCACTTCAAGCCGTTGTGAGCACCTCAAGCCATTTTTCTTTTCTGCATCTCCGCCCGGCCCTTGGCAGTCCTTGTCAAGCTGGGTTCATGTCCCACCGTACAACTGCAGAGCAGTGAGACCGTGAGATGACGTTCGCTGGTCCGCGGAAGAATTGCGGTGCCCGTTTGCATCTGCCGGGCACTCTTGCTCTTGCTCTTGACGCCATTGCGCGGGTGCGAGTTGCTCTGCCACTTTAAGCACCGCGACAAGATGGCAGGGGCCCGGGGCAGGTCAGCTTTGCTTCAGAGGCCAGGGCCAGGGCCAGGCGAGTCAGGCGAGGCGACCTTCTGCACACGGGCGACAGAAGGGCTTTCCAAGTCGAACATTGGCCTAGGCCTAGAGATGCTCTCCAAGAACATATCAAGCATCGCAAAGGCCCCTGTCTTGCTGCAGGGATAGTGCCTGCTGAATCCAAGACGAGCCAGAAGGTTTCGTCGGAGTGACCTCGGAAGCCTTGAGTCCTGTGCTTGAATGTGTTGATGAAACGTTGGAGCCATTTCTCCTTGACCGGAAAAGGCGACGACAGGTAGAGTCAGAGCTGGAGCCAGAGCAGCTGGAGCAGCTAGCGATGGTTTCCAAAGCGCCCTTCTCACTCCCGGTTCCCACACGGCACTGTGCAGAGGCCGACCCACAGGAGCCACAGGAGCCACAGACGCCCGCAACGACCTGAACGACCTGAGGACGACATGTGACTCCGAAGCCTCCGATGGTAGCCGCAGCCGCTCCTCTGCTGGCGCCGCGTTTTGCACAACTTGCACCGTCTTAGCAAAAGGCGGCCCTGCTGTCACTGCTCGCTCCTCGGTGCATCTGCGGTCTCCCTGCCGATCGCATCGGTTGTCATTGTGAAGCTGCGATGAATTCCCGAAAAAGGGTGCCGGCGTCACGCAGCATGTCTTTGTGCAGGTGGCCGAGGCCCAGTTCCAAAGAACTCTGCTCAGCCACTGACTTGCGGCTCCGGCCAGGATCTGTCAGGCAGTGAAAGTGAGAGCCGGAATCAAGGCGTCCAGGCTGAGGACCGAGGTTTGTCACCGTTTCCAATTTCCCCCAAATTCCATAGCGAGTCCTTAGAGTCGTTGTCGTGATAGAGATCCGGCAAGTGGTCCAGCAAGCCCTTGCGGTCTTCACCGAGAGGTTGGAAGCCTCGACGGGTGTGAGGCCTCGCAGGTAAGGCCGGCCACACCCTTTCTTGGGCCCGTCGGTCCTTGAATCATGCTGCCTGAGCTTGGGTCGGGTCGTGCCAGAGCGCTCTACGCCGGAGACAGACTCTTGAAGCCGGTTAACGTTCTGACCTTTGCCTTGCCACTTCTGTGCTGGCGGCAAGGTCTCAATGGCATGTGCACCTCGGAGGCCCGTCCACCAAGGGCGCCGTGACCCTTTTAGGAAATTGAACACTCGGAAAACGGTCTTGTCCTAGTTTCCCTTTGTCCTTAAAGAGAGTTCCCGTAGATGCACAGCACTCCTGGTAGCTCTTGAGACCCATGTTTTGAGTGCAGTCGTGGCTGCCTGCTACAAACACTGCGCCAGGCCAAACTTGAGGAATACCTGGACATGGAAGTGTAGAAGGTCACGAAGGAACCAGAGCCACCTGCCACGCCGTAGGGACACCTTCAGTCAGACTGCCAATCGCCCAAGCAATTTGCTTGGCTTCCGTGTGCAACCTAGCAAGTTTGTCTCAGGAGTGCCAAGTGAGACCCCAAACGCCCGGGCATTCGTCGTGGAGACAGCCCTTCTCTCATCCGGGTCTCCGTTTCAAATGTTGCAATGTCGAAGGCATCCGAGGGTCCAGGCTTCAGCGCCTCCGAGACTTGCTGTGGCTACTACTGTGATCCCCGCTGACGGCTTTTTTGTCACTTCTTTCAGACCGGTACCAAAGTTTGGAAAGGTTAACCGATTTCGATAGGGGCCGCGACCTGAACCGAAGACCTCTCCGCTGACTCGTGATGCAGTGTATTTCGGGCTCGATGCTGGCCTAGTCGTGACCCCTGCACCCTCGGTGATGCGGTGTAGGACACTTGAAACTGTGGAAACCGAGCCTGCGTTTTATTACTTTTGCTACAGCATACCGTTTTCTTTCAACTGGTTCCCAAATTCCTAAAAAACTTCTTGATTCCTTGAACCTTCTGATTCCACCTTTGCACAGGCGGCGTGGTCCTGAAACGCAGGACCTTTCGCGCTGGATTTACCCTCAGCATGAAGTGCCTTCTTCTTCCCGTGCCCTGTCTTGTCTTGTGCTTCTTGCCCCTTGAGTAGGAGGGTGCAATGGGAGTTTTGAGTGCGATGGCCAGATGAAGTGCGATCCCGCAGCCAGCTGCCGTTGAGAACGAAATGGCTGCATGAATCCCTCAAGGCTGTCACGACAGCTTTCGGACCAACCTTTCTGCCGTGGGCTCTACCCTCGACTGTGAAAGCAATGGGGAGCGCCACGTGCGGGAGTTTCGCAGAAGCATGTCGAGGGCGGCCGTCTGAAATTCAAATTCAAATCTTTAGGTCCGCCCAGGTGTCAGACATGCCAATTCTGTTCGCAGGCCCCATTTTTTTGCACCAGTATTGTGGAGTATGCGGGGTGCGCAGTGAGAGGGGTCGCAGCCTCTGCCGATCGCTCAGGGTGCAGTGCTGGCACCGTCACAGCACATGTATCTGCGAGGTGATTCACGGCCGGGTTTCTTCATCTGAACCCACCTTGTCTTGTGAGAGCCCCCGCCAGCTGCATGTCAGGAGGCGGCTGTGGCCCGAAGTTTCGATTCGTCGGAAGATCCTGACACGGATGCTGTTTCGGATGAATCTGAGCAGCACTACACCTTCTGCGAGTGGAAGCCGAAAATCGTGCAGACTGCGTTTTAACCACCAGCTCAAACGACATGAATACCAGACCTGCCATCGATATCTAGATGCGGGAGCAAGGATAGTGTTGGAATTGGGCTAACTGCGTTTAACTGCTTGAGCCACACATGAGGAAGCACAGTAGAGGTGCTTCTTTTTTCAAAAAGGCCTAGGTGGAAGAGTTAGAGTGTCTCATCAGGTAACATGTAAACGTGTGAATTGCAGGCACGCGATTCATGGACAGTCCAGCAAGACCATGTCTGTAGAATGCACAAGTGCACTCGCACAATGTTTCTTTCCCTTGGCGTCGCAGCAGTCACAGGATGTCAGGGGGTGCTTTGGTTCCGTGCTCACGAGATCTCTTGGCTTTTTCCCACCGCTACGATAGCCTCGAGCCCCTATGACTGACGGCTCCCGGAATTTGTGCGCTGGCAGCAGTATTGACAGCATCGTCGCCGAGAGTACCAAAATGGCCAACAAGTCCCCAGTCTCTGCGAGAAGGGTAAGTGTAACTCGATGTTGTGAAATGACTGTTAGGAAGGATAGGAGCTTCACTGGTGACATTCCCAGCATCTGTTCGATCCAGGTCATGTTGTTGGATTCTTGGTTCCGAATCGTTCTCATCAACCCCCAAGTCGAGAGACTGAGGCTAGCAATAGCCTCCGGCTTCCGAATCGGCAATGCCCGCACAAGGAAGGTGCCAGCGAGAGCAGGATGTCCAGTTCATGAGAAGGGTTATTCAGTCTGTCGCTGCATCGATAGGGCATGTGCTTCATGGCTGGGCTGAGTTCCTAAACCGAACCTGTCCTCAGATTTTGCCGGTGTCCCGTACCTAGCTGTCGTATCTTGGGCAGGCCAAAACGTTGGACTATCGGGATGACATCAGATTTGGCCTAGACTTCGCCAACCCGCCCCCTCCTCATTCAACGCGAATCTGTGTACCATGCACCAGGCAGAACTTCTCCTGCTTCGCGACTTCCTCCTTGGACAACTGGGGACTGAAGAGGCGGAGCGAGTGTTGAGAATTGCAAGTCAAATCACTTCAGGAATAGGCCTTCAGATGGTCTAAAAAGTGCAAGATTTTCAAGGAAGTTTTCATGCCAATTCTTGAGGACACTGCTACGGCACAGCGGATTGGACGTCTCCTGATTGCCGGAGGCTTCTGGGCTCAGCAAGCTCTGCACGTTTTGTTGTCCACAGGATCCCGGAGCTGAGTGTGTCTGCGGCAAGGACTCCATGCTGAAGATGCCGAGCTCCCGAGCTGTTCTGCCCTCAGAGAACAGCACTTACAGTGACTTAGAGGTTCGGAGCTGTCGTCTCGCTGAGATGATCGGATCTTTGAACGAAGGGCATATCGGTCGACGCTATATGGCTTAGGCTAAGGCTTAGGCCAAACCAGAGGTCGGTGAGGAAGAAGTTGCTGACACAGGTTGATGCCTCCTCGTGTTTGCAATTTGGGAAGACGAACCACATGTGTCTGGGGTTCTACTCGGAAGCTGATGGCCGCTTGAGCTCAAACCTGGGCCACACAGGTCCCAGCGATTGCATGTGGCATTTGACAAATCCCGATAAAACTCGCGCGAAGACTGGCAACAGCATCTCTAGAACACATGCTCCTGAAAACATGCTAGAATTACCATGAACGATAACCACAGCCTCATGACGCATTTGCTTCGGCTGTCTGCAAAAGCAACAGCAACGCAGCAACAAGTAGCAATCGGGAATCTACGTGCATGGTCTGTCGAGCTTGACGACTTCGAAAGCCAATGCAGTGTTCAGCATGGGTTGTGTGACAGTAACGCAGTCAAGCCTTGGGTGTCAGGATTTGGGGATTCTAGGACGAAGGACTCAGAGTTTCAAGAGCTTTAGGCCTTCGAGCCACTGTTTAGCGCCATGGACTTCAAGCAAGAGTTGAACCAGTTTCTCCAGAAGACGCTGTGCTGAATTTGCTGCAGTCAGTACATTCCGCACGCTCCATCTGTTGTCAACAAGTCCTTAATGGCCTGTCACCGTTGGTTTGATGCAGTTGTCTATAGTTGTCTCATCGGGTGGCGGGGTTCCAGATGCAGCTACTGTGGTCAAGGTTGAGTTGCTACTGCCGCAGACATCCGCAGACTGTGAACCGGACTCGAGCAAAGGCATTGCAAGCGACCGCTGACGAAGACAGACATCACCTACACCGTTAGCAGCTCGAGCGAGACATCTTATCTTCAGCTCAGTATGGTTTTTGTGCTTGAGTGCTTTGAGGCTGCTGAGGTTGACAGGTGCGCAGTAGCGATGGTGGTTTCCTTTCTCCTTGCATGTTCAAGTCTCGTTCGTTCGTGGGTACACCAGCTTGTGCAAGATGTCTGGAGTTCAGGGTTCATGCTGCATCCGTGCTCGCTCGAATGCATCCGTTGAACGGGAGGTGCTTCTTGGTAGCGAAGTCTGCATACACCTGTGATGCAGTCGTCTGGTAAAAACTCTGGCTTCGGGCACCTTCTGACTCTCCTGTCTGGTGCTCGCAGGCAAGTATGGAACGCAATTTCAGGCACGCTGATGTTGCTCGTTGCTCTTCCTCTCTGACAGGGTCTGGGAGTCGCAAGGGGAACCCGAGACGCATCTTTTGGTGTCTTGGGTTTCGAGTTTGAGCCGAGATCCTGTCAGAGCTCTGACTTCCTTGGAGGCGATCGTGCGACTCAACTGCCTCAACGGCCAGGAGTACGCAGGACACCTGATGGCTGATGCCAAGGTGGAGCGTGCTTCTGCTTTGAAGAGCACAGTAGCAATGGTGAAATCGGCTGATCGGCCCTCATCTTGTCAGAACGTCTTGCAAGTCTCTGATGAGGTTGCATGTGGCGGCTGCCACTTGCGGACTTGTAAGTAGGATCAGAAGTTGGCTACAGAGGCAACTCCAAACCAAGCCTGCGCATGGCTACTGTCCATCAGTCCTCCTTTTCGGCAACTTGAAAAAGCGTAGTTTGCAGAAGGCCCTGCAAGGTGTCCACATTCTAGGCCACTGTCCCAAGACCTGCTCTGATCTGCTCTGAACTCGACAGGCTGCTGAGAAGTCTGCAGCCCAGCAGGCGATCGAAGCTAATGCCACTCTCGTGGAGGCCTGGATTGATTGGAAAGTGCCATGAGCTGTTTGACTACCAACTCTCCTTTTTTTGCTTCTGTAACTCGCTGATTGCAGGAGCCCTCGATTTTTGGAATGCGTGCTCATGTGTTCCTCTGCGTTGCCTCGGGAATAGGAGAGGAGTTTCGAGCTGCCGCTGATACTTTTTCGCAAGACAAGACGTTCTCTCAGGGCGTCTCAACAAATCGCTGAAACTTTCAGCTCCCATCCCAGAGGCGGCGAAGACGGCGCCGGCAGACAAGAAGCGCCAGGCGCAGAAGCCTCCCGTCAGCGCAGAGGCCCGCATGTCCTTGCAAACCGCTCAAGGGATCGATGCTTCGCGAACTGGACCTCATGCAAAGTCTTCGGGACCCGTCCTAGACTCCCGCTTTCGAGGAGCGTGAGGCCAAAAAGGCCAAGCAGGAAGCAGGCGCGTTTGTTGTCACTGAGCACAGGTCAGGAGTGCTGACTTGCTGAGACGACGTGGACCTTGTTCTCAGTCAAGTGAGTTGCGTGAGTCTTTCCCCTCGCAGCATGACGGAGATTCCGATCACACCTAGTCACTGTTGTTGGTGGAATATTTGTGAGTGCAGTTTTCGCCTTGATCGCCCCGAACACTTCCCGCTGCTGTTGCTGTGGGGCTACTGCCGTAAGCGCCCTGCGTGCAGGGGAAAACCCCGCCGTCACCCCGAAGACGGAGCTCAATAGCCTCTGTATGCCAGCGGCTCAGGGGTTCCTAAGGCTGCACACATGACTGCGCTTTCCTCGGCCCCAGCCTCGACTTCCGTATCCCTCAGCCTGAAACACCGGCAAGCGACTCAAAAGGACCATGTCCGAACACTGGCTGCTTCAATCACATTTTACACGCGCCCAGGAAGATCATTGGCAGGTTTCTCAAGAAGGGAGAGACGGTCCCTGGGCCATTGCTTACCCTGGCAGGTTTTGGCTTGAGATCCTTGGGATGTTGCGCGCTGTCTCATGCAGTGCATCACCTTGCATCTGTAAAGCTTAGGCTTAGTCACTATGATGCATTCCTTTGCTTTCAGACTTTCAGGTGTACGTGTGCAACAAAATCGGCACGCAGTACCAAGCCACTGTGCCGTACCCAGTAGCTGTGGCTGATGATCACGTCTGGCTGGTCATGGCCCACAGCGAAGCAAGATCGCACACGGAAGGTGCAGATCACCAGCCTCCCAGAAGAGTGGGGCCAACGCGCCTGGGCTGGGCACCTTTGCGCAAACAAGCAGAAGGCAAGTGGACGCTGTGCTTTCCGGCGATTTTGGCAGAGCTTTCAGCTTGCTAACGGTTGCTATGGTCACTAGGGTGCGGAACATGACACCTGGGAGATCTCAGATACTTGGTTGCTGCTGTAGGAAGACCGCCGCTGGGAGAAGGGTAGCTTTGTCCGCTTTGGGGTAACAACAGCCACCGTTTCTTTGTTTGTCCTTGTCACCAATCGGTATGGAATTTTTGCGCCTTTTCGCTTCAGCCCTCTTTGCGGTGACCTTGTCGCGTCTTCCGGTTTCATTGGCGGTTATCCGGTCGTGCCTTTTTGTTTTGACATCCCTGTTCCTCCTTTGGGGTGTTCGTGCCCAGGGTTGAGGGCTTGGACAGGTGTCGCAAGGTGTCAGCGCTAGCTTTAGCTTTGGTCGTCCTATGCTCAGCAGGCGCAGTTCTACCATTCCACTCCGGCCGCTTTGAAACTTTCGCTTCGTCTTGCTCCTGGCTGCAGGCGGAACAGTCCGCAGCCGAGATCGCCCTGGGAGACATCAAGGGTGCCTTGGGGCATCGTTTGAGATTGTAAGTAAGAAGGAAGATATGTTGCACAGCTTTTGCATTGCTGTGACAGCTGCAAAAATCGAGCAGCATGGGGCTCTGACGGGTTCCACCCTGCCAGAGAGCCGTGAGACCTGCAGCTACAGGCTCCACCTCCAAATCTGTAGGACTCAGAAACTCGTGCTCCAAGACAAGCTGAACTTCTTGATTGCGGCGTCCGAGGTGATGAGAAGCTGCAAGAGCTCGCGTCGCAGTTCAAAGGCAGCTTTCTTGCGTCATTCAAGTGAAGTTGGTCTTCGGACCTGTCTTTCGAAAGGAGTGATGCGTCGATCTGTGTCTCCTTGTGCACACCTTGTACTCAGGCAAAGGCAAAGGAAAGGGAAAGTGGGACGTGCAGGCGATGTGGGAGATGATGAGCTACTCGGCACGGATTTCTCTTCAGTTCAGAAGGGCTTTGTGTGCTGTTATGTCTCCACACCTCTGCAGATAACTGGTGGACTTGGAACAACACGCGGGAGCGAGTCATCGAGGAGGACGTGCTCGGGGAGCTCATCGAGTGGAAAGGACCGGTTCATGGGACCGAAGAGTTAGATTATTTCATCGGACAATCTTTGTCCAAAGTCTGCTAATCCCTCGGCTTTCGGCTTCGTCGGTTGGTGCATGCTTCGAAGGTCCCATTTGGGCACACACTCTGCCGGAGGACACTATGGCTGGGTCAAGACCGACCACGACTTCGAGCACGAGGCAGCTGGGAAGGGCAGAGCACCAATGCGACAAAGGACCGAAGGACGTCTGTACCGAGATTTTATCTGGAGTCCAAGATAGGCCAGTGACGAAGCCTCGCAGCACGTAGATTTGATGCTTGCATCAGGCCAAGGGCATGCGAGACGGCAAGATCTACATGCACAGGTGCCTACGCTTAAAGCATGTCTTGCGAACACTTCTTGCTGGCACTGTGGTCACTTCTCCTGAACTTTCTATTTGGGCCTAATTGTCTTCACTAATTTCTACAGCTCCAAGCCGTCTGTGTCGATTTCAAGGAAAGACATCGAGGGCCAGCCGGAAGCGCTGGCTGAAGGTCAGAAGGCCGCGCTTGTTGGGCTGTGCAGGGCTCTCACGGTCCATGATCCTCATGCGAAAGTCCGAGCTATGATGGAGACTTCAGGGATGGTTGGAAATATTGGAGGTGTTGCTTGCAGACTTTTGCAGTGAGCCTGACTGAACCGGGTGCGCGTCTTGATTCGGGTGCCGTCGCATCACTTCTACAGAGCCAGCGATTTGAGTTTGCCTTGGTCCGGTCTTGTCAAGAATGCGGGAAGGGCCGTACTGGACCCCTATGCAACTCTAGGTGAAGTTCAAGCTCTATGCAGACGGCAGTGGATTGGGCGCCGAAGAAGTGACACTGTGTGTGTAGAGTGTAGAGCTTCCTCCGCAGATCTCGGAGCCGGAGATTTGGGCTTAGAGCGCAAGGTTTGACGGGACTTCAGCAACACCGGCTCCACAGCCAAGACTCAGACGACGGATACCAGAGACTTGAGATGAGGCTCAGTCATTGAAACGACTTCAAACGGACACGCTAGGAGTATTGCACCCGCCGAAGCTGCGGTGGACCTGAGCATCTGCGATCCCAAACCATCGAGCCTTCCGCCCAACTCTTGAGACTTCGACCCCTAGTTTTGCAGTTAGAACCCCAGAAAATGGGGCCTGCACCTCTGCAGCAGCTTATGAGAGCCGCGAGGCAAAACAGAGCGCACCACTTCCGAGATTTCAGGGGAGTGTCCCCAACCCGCAGAGGACGTCAAAGATGCTCCTTTCGCCCTTCCAAGCAAGGCCTTGGGCGGCCCAAGCGGCCTCGCGTGCCTTCTGGGAAGGCGGGGCTGCGGGGCTGAGCTGGGGCCCGAAGAAACCCGGCCGGGTAATGTCAGTGCTGGGGGTTCGTTGCGAAATGGACTGGCAGCTCCCTGACTAGTGCAATGCAGCTCCTGCAAGGAGAGTATCCAGTTTCTTGCGGGATTGGGACAGGGTGCCGGAGCCTGTAAAGAATCAAAGGACGCATTGTTGGGCGGGCTCCAGACAAAGCCAGCCGGGTCGTTGTTTGTTCGTGGCACGAAGACCATCAGCATCACGGCGGTGAGGCTCAGAGATCCTTCGCTGCCGCTGCTGCCGACGAGGCCCCACCCCCAAAGGTTTTGGGAACTTCCAGGTCTTTGGGCTTGGAGCCGTTCTCAGCTTTACCAAGCAGCCCAGGCCCAAGGTTTTTCCGAACCGGAAGCAGGCAATACTTTCGCTTCTTGTGTTTTTGTTTTCCTGAGCCTGCAGTGCTAGGACTGCTAGAAGCTGCTAGAAGCTGCTAGAAGCTGCTAGGAGATGAGCTTTCACGAGGGTTTTCCGGAGGCCGACCACTTCCTGGCGCCTCTTTCCTGCCAGCTAAAGCGTGGGGGCCTGGCCTGTGGGGCCTGCTTCGGTCGCATGGAAGCAGGGCATTGCATTGAATGCCGCGAGTCTATGAATGTGAGAATCACGCTATCTCCTGCGATGATCTCCTGCCACGACCAGTGGTGTTTCAAACATGTTGCGGTGACACGGGAAGGAAGCTGCGACAGAAGACATCATCGACCACAAATCCCAAAGACACACCAATGCATGCGAAGTCGGCTGGAAGTAAAGCGCCTTTAACTCAGGCTCTGCATCTTGAGCGGAGAAGGCCCAGATTTATATAATGTGCCAAGATGTCCGAAGTTAAGTTCAGCGTTTCTCGTTTTCGAGTTGCGTCGTTTTCACTGGGGGAACATGAGACAGTGGACTTGCACAAAGCAAGCCCAAGGGTAATTCAGAAGTACCATGACTGTGTTATTGTGGTGAGACCTTGCTCTGCAGTGGTACAGAGATGTCAAGACAAGAGTCTGCGCAGAAAGGATGTGCTGCCGAAGATCCTTACTAGAGAGCTTGGGTAGAAGCTATGTTAAATTCATTAATCGTGCAAGTGTTTAACGCTTCTTGCCCCGCGCTGTGGCTTCCCAGCCAAAGCTGCAGTCGAGCTTTGCATCTCGATGGTGCATGAAACAAGATGCAGCCAGGCGATTGCGGCGTGTCGAGAAGGCTCTCCGCTGCCTAGGATGCAGGAGAGAGATGTGCCTATCTGCTTCGAAGGCTGCGTCTTCCATACGGTAGGAGATCCTTGATCCGGGGGTATCGATGACAGACATGCCCGGGTCACGTGATGCGTCGGAGGCTGCCTCAGCCGGCCCTGCCCCTCGCCATCTTCCCAAGATGCCGGAGGCTGTTGGGGTTGCGTGATGCAAAGGCTTGGAAGGCTTTTGGGCGATTATGTGCCCCTAAGCTGGGAAGGTCAGGAAACCTCGAGCTCCGGACCAATCCATTTTGTCGCGCAGAGGGCGAGCTGCAGGCACGGGTTGCCTTGGGCTCATGCTGCATTCGGGTGCCAGTGTTAAGCCGGAAGTTATGCACCCCGGAATGGAACGATTCAGCCTACATCCTCACCTGCTTCAGTTCCGGTCTTTACGAGTTGGGATTGCTTGGAGGCTTTGCTTTGGTTGACCTCTGCGGAGAGGTTGTTGGCCACGCTGGCCAGCCATTGCATCTGGCTCTCCGCAAGGGCCTCGCCACCTGTAGGTCCTTCGAGAGAGTGGATGGATTTGGAGGTATGTTCGGGTTTGTGCTTTGGGGTCATGTCTCCATCAAAATTGTCACACGGCAATCCAGAATCAGAGCCGATGTCGGGTCTGTCAAGCCGGCGATTCGCGTTGGTGCTTGATCTCTTGATGACCTAGCCCCCCCCCCCCGAAGGGTCAAGTACTCCGCGGCAAGACCATCAGGCACTCTCTCTCAGTGGTTTGATTCCTCGGGCAGTCCCAGGCAATGCTTCAGAGCCGACGACGGCACTGGAATCTTTGCTCGACTGCTGGCCCGCTAGTGGTTAGGTAGCGGGTGTTTTCCTATGTGTTCATATGTGGGGCTTGTTTCCGCTTCGTGGCAGCTTCTGGCATCTCGTGAAGCTCGGGGTGGAGGGCTTGAGGTCCACGGAGCTTTGATGAAGGGCGGTTTCGGCTGTAGAGATGCCTTCAGACTTTGGTATTCAAACTGCGGAGGCGTCGACAGTACTTGGCTCCCAAATGGCCCGAGTTCCTTCTGGACAAAGACTGCCTCCAGGCCTGAACGCAGCATTAAATGCAGCCTGAACCACGACAAATTAGGCTTTGGTTTCTCAGAGAGAGTGCTCCCGCTGTGTTGACATCTTGATTACACTACATCCCTGGAAGTTTTCCTTCCTGCAGCCTCAAGTCGTGTGGGAGGTCTTCCGGCGGAGCTCTGGGTCAGCATCTTGGCTTTGCCTTGGTAGAGCGTGGCAGAGCTTCCGAGCTGAGGCTGTCGGACCCCTTCGTCATCCCACAGGCGCGACGGCGCGACGGAGTAAACGGGGAAGGCCGGCCGGCCTCGGCCAGGCCCAGGCTGCGCGAGTTCTCCTCTTCTCGGGCAACTGCACGTCGGCCGCCTGGGCATCTTGGAGCGAAAGGGGCGTGCGCGCGCGCGCGCTGTGAGTCTCTGAATCTGATCTGAGCGTCTTCGTCGTCTTTTGTCAACAAGGAGGCTAAGGCCAAAGAGGCTCGGCTCGGGTGAGAACTGAGGAGCGGCTCAGCGAACCTCTCCTTGGAGGCGCTGCTCAAGAGGCCTCCGCCCGGCTCTATACTCTTCTCTTCTCTGCGTCTGTTTTCGGACGGACACCCGCTTGGGTCGCTTGGGATCGGCGAAGAGGTGGCAGCTCTTTGCATCCCAGACTTCACGGTCGAACCGGCCCTCCTGCTGGTGAACACGGAGGCAATGCGCAGTGCTCTGGGTGTTGGGGCGACAAGGCTTCAAGTGCAGCAGATTCGTGGTTCTGAATGCGGAGTGTGTCAGTGAGTCAAGGCCAAGGCTTCCGATTAGGGCTCCACAGGGCCCCGGGGATTTCTCTGAGACTCTATCGCGCAGGACCTCACCATCAAGAAGCTCAGCTTCGAAGTCGCCTAGGCCTTGGGCGGCCTGACGCCAAGTCGGTCTCAAGCACCTGCATTCAACTTGCATGCGATCTTTGTTTGACGAAGCCAAGCCCGCTTGAGCTGAGATCATCTGAGGCCGCAGCATGCCGCAACGTTCACGTGGAGCGAGCCCGGTACATCGAAGCCTCAAGCCGGCACGTGCAGGAGTGGCGCAGGGTCCCAAATGCCCTTGCTTGGACATGACAGCAAAGTCATAGGTGAGTTAGATACATTTGTTCGCAATTCCCGGGCATCGGAAAAGAGCGTCAGTGCAGGTCATGGATCGACAGGACGGTCGGCAAGGTCGGCATGAAGACCATCTAGGAGGTTTGCCACATTCGGAGCCGAAGGTCCACGCCACGCAGGTCCGCCTCGGATGCCAAGCCGACGACGAAGCCAGCTGTGGCTGGCAGCCGTATTCCGACAAAACCCTTGTCCAGAAGCGGATGGACGGAGCTGCAGGCCAGCAGAAAAGAGCTGTGATGCACTGGCCAATGCAAATACGTGTCGCCTGCTGAGGCTTCCGATTAATGAAAGCCACAAAGGTCGGCATCCATGCTGTCCTCATCATGTCCTCATCATGCACTGAATATTCCTGAACTGTATTGCATAGCACTCTAACAAGGCTTCGTGGCTGGCACCTGGTTTCACGGGCCTGGAGTGCTTGTTTGGGAAAACATGACAAGACTTAGGGGGCTGGCCTTGACAGTGAGCATGTATGGACGCAGCGGAGCAAGCATGTGTGTCCGTGGAGGTTTGTGCTCAAAGGTAGTGCACCACAGAGAGGATGACTGAAAAAGTTTGACCTGCCAAGGCCTCAGTACATGCAGTGCATCCCGCAGGTCAGAATGACTACCGAGACTAGCTCGATTACTTTTGATTTGGTCTTGTCAGACAGCTTTTGCAGTGCAGCATTGAGATTCGCATCTTGCTGTCCTGACATTTGTTGCACCGTCAACGTCGCGAGAAAGCACAAACCTGCGAGCCAAACTCCAACGGCTTTGACTTGATAGCAGTCATGGCAGTTCACTGCACCTTTTCCAAAGGTCCCAGTCCCACATTTTGCCGGTTGAAGCAGCGCTCTGATTGACTGACGGTCCGGCGAGGCGAGGGGTGTCACAACCCCTCCGAGCGACGAGGGGAGCCCGTGGGTGCTAGTGCCTGCGCGCAAACTTCTCGGAGATGTCGTTCGGGGCCAAGTGCCAACTTGGCTTTGAGCTTCAACTCGCAGACGTGTGGGGGCTTGGGGTTGGGCTGGAGATAGGTTTCGAGATCGAGCTCGGATGCATCGCATCCTCCAGCTCATGAGTCTAGCCGAGTAAAGCCGTCAAGCCTGAAGCCTCCAGCGCTGCGCATCTTTTGAAGCAAGGTTTGTGTGGACCGCTTAGGGCTGCAAGGTTCCATTCGGGATCCGACTCGATCTCGAAGAGTGTCCGATGCAGAGGTCCTATGGAGAACTCATCCAAGCACTGCGCGTGCTAAAGAATGTAAAGGCCGGCAAGGGTTCAGGATTGCCAGGGTCAACCAGGGTCAGAGAGCATCTTGTAAAGAAACAAAGGCCGTGTCAGGGTGGAACTTTTGCCAGCCAGCGGCGGAACCAGAGACTGTCACTCGGCCTGGGCCGTAGTCAGGGAGCAACACCTTGGGGTGGTACAGCACTGCTGTCTCAAGAAAGTCCGAGTGCTTTGAAGCCTTGCCTTTCCGACACAGCAGCCTTGAAAGTTGTGCTGTGACCGCCAGGAGAAGCGACATGGGATAAAGACCCTGGCCAGTCTGTGCTCAAATCGAGCGTTTCAGGCCCGGTCGAAGGTGGTTACATTGCTCAAGAGCTGAGGATCCCGGGCTTGCGGTAAACCCAGAGACATCTAATCCGACCAAGCAGTGAAGCAAGGAAGCTTGGAAGCTGCCGCAGGTTCGAATAGTGCAGAGAGGCGGATGGCGGACTGCCATCCTCCCCCTGATCATTTCCCTAGATGAGGCGCGATCTGGCAAAAGGGCGTAGGTACTTGCAATTTGAAGCCATGCAGGTTGCTCTATGATAAAGGTGTCACGATGTCTTCCGACTCCAAGTAAAGGCTCCTGAAGTGGCCTGAGCAGGCTGATTGGTATGTGTGTGCGTGAGTTTTCAGCTTTGAGGTCTGCAGGCGAAGAGAGAGCATCTCGTTTAGATCGTGCTGCGTATGCTGTGTGATATACTGGGCCTTCCTGCTGAAGGTGAGAGTTGCAAGCAGAAACAGCTTCATCGTACAACCTTTGATGGTAGCACACACCGGCCCCGCTTGCGTTTTTCCGTTCGCCAGGATTGTCGCATGTACGCCGCGCTGGCTGTCGCCAATCTCTCGACATCCTCTGCCACGCACCCACAGCTTGTAGAGGAGGAAGTGCTCAGGCGAGGCGGCCTGTGGAACAGTGAAGGCTTTGTAAGAATTTGTGGAGTCGCGACTGCGCGTCGATAGGCAAGCTTGATTTTGACAGCGTGTCAATTTCTGGCTCTGGCAGATCGCGTTGAAACTGCTTGAAGGCATCTTGTGCCCATCCTCCAGAGCGAGGAAGTCCAGGAGGCAAGGATTCGCACTCGATGTCCACGTTCATTTGCAGCATCCCCATGCTCTTTCACGTGACCTCAGCTTCAGCCTTCAGGCCAATCTGTCAGTGAGACTTAAGTGCTGGTGAAGGTGATAGCTTATGTCCTCAATGCGCTGGGGAACTTCGCATGCAGCTGGTCACAAGAATCTGGCAATAACAAGTTGCAGGGTGCGAAGTACGCAAAACGGGAGTCCCAACCTGTTCCAAGTAACCCAAGGCAGCAACATCATGTGGCACGAGCTCCAGCAGATGAACGCTGCAGACGGTATCCTCACAATCCTAAAGCAGACCCAGCGTGAGGAGATCAGGACGGGAGCCACTTACGCGGTTTCTGCAAGGGGAGAGAGTGCTGAGACGCACGGGCTGACGGCTCACGGCTCTCTGCCACCTTTCTGCCAGGATCAACTGCCTCTTTTGCCTGGCCAATCTGACTGCCGACCCCTGGCACCGGAAGTGGATGATGGGAAAGGAGGCTGCGAGGGCCATGGTTAGAGCCGGGTTCACCAAGAACTGTGCCTGCCTGATTGGGGGTCACACCAGGTAAAGCTTAGCTCGAGTTTTATTGCAAACGACGCACCCTGGTTCTTCGGATTGACTGTGTCCCACTGGCAAGGTTTACGAGATCATCTGGGGCTACATGCAGGAGCCGGGAACGCTTCAGCCACTGCTCGGTGAGAGAAACTGCACTGCTCCAGTTGTGAGCCGAGTGCCACCTCGTATAACCCGCTTCAGTGTCCCTGGCGTGGAGAAGCCGTGGTGCTTCAGGATCCCAACTACAACATCATGTGGTACTCCCTTGCCATTCTCCGTGGCCTCGCCGTTGAGAGCGAAGCGCAGGAGTCTGGGAGCGGTCTTGCGCGTTGGCGGCGTTGATCCTTTGACGGGCCTTATTTTCGTCATCGTAGGAAAAAGTGCGTTGCCAGGCACCATGACAGATGTGGCGTTTCCGTGCCATGCTAGGAAGCTTGCAAAAAGCAAGAAGGCGTCTCTCAACTAGAGGCTTACAGAGATTGCAGCATGGGCCGGCTCTGCGTTTTTTTAGTGGCGCGTCAGATGTGTGTTCCAACAGTTTTATTATGCGCCTTGACTGTCCAAACGCGGTGCCCGTATGACTTGGGTCCATGATCTTTTCAACCACTCGAGGTCTAATTAAGTATGGGAGTTGGGCTGTGGGGAGCACTTCGGGATGGAGGAACCCGAATGTCCTAGTCACCTAGTCCTAGTCCTTATGTTCTCTTCCGCCAACTACCTTGCAACCTCAACCCCTGTCAGCCTTGGAAGGAGCTGTTTCCATCAATGGGCACCTGCCTCATCCTGCGGTGGTGTCTGAAGTTCTGAGACATTGTTCAAACTGCATGGAGTCATAGAGTTGACCCAAGGTGAGGGTAGGCCTGGAGCTTTGCAAGGCCTAACTTTAAGTGGGTATCCCAAATTCCAAAGGCGGTCTTGGTGTTCCCAAACGACCCAAAACGAGCCAAACCAATGGCATTTTGGACCAATTTTCGGAACAACCAAACTTCAGATTTTGACCATGTGGGTTCCAAGCACCCAAAACTAGCCGAAGCATGAGCATTTTCGTTGATGTTCGGGTTGAGGGCTTTAGAATTTTGTTCGGGTTTGGGAGAGCACTAACCCAAGCATCCGTGACTGGACAAACAAACACATTTTGGCTTGTTCGGGTTTGGGGAAGCCCGCCAAATGGCATGAGCCTCCCCCAAGCATCCCAAAGTAGCGAGTTGTCGGATTTGGGGAATTGCCAAAACGCAAATTTCAGTGATGGTTTGCTGAACGCCAAACTCAGCCAATCTGTAGGCATTTTTGGGGAACCACCGAGTGGCCGATTTCATTGATTCTTGACCAGCCTTGTGCATCGCCAAATCATTCAAGAAAGTCCCTCAGCCAAAGGCATCCTTCCTCGCCGGGTTTGACATCAAGCGGCTGATTTCAGTGATTTCTAGCACAAAACCGCAACTTTCCCGTTCAGCCTCACCTTAAAGTCTGGCCATTCTCGCTGTGGGCGGGGCCAGGTTCAAACCACAAACCGAGGAGCTTTGGAAGCAATTGCGTCCTTGCCGCAGTCCCGTGGCTGCCCATCGTTTGAGTTTGGCCACCCGAGCGAGAAAACGTGCGGATTGACGATTGTCGAGGATTTGAACCTGGCTCTCTTTTCTTTTCATTGTCGTGTTGACCCATCGAAATGCGAAAACTTTGCCTGTGGCCTCACTTCCAAGGGAGCTCCGGGCGCCGTTGCTCCTCTGCTAGGCTTTTTGGGTTTGAACCTGGCCCCTCTCGTATGCCTTATTTTTTGAGTGAAAACATATGGTATCCCGTTGCTTGTCCAGACTTTGAGGCGAGGTTTAGGCACGGTCTTCCTTTGCCATGGGGTTTGAACCTGGCCCCTCCCTTATTTCTGAATGGAAGTGTTGACCCACCGGCAGGCTAAAATATACTGTTTCTCCCTTTGCTTGTGGCCAAACTGCAGGGGGAGGTTTCATTGTTTCGTTTTTCCTGTGCTTGCAAAGGATTTGAATCTGACCAAGTTTGATTTCCATATTCAATGTGACCCACGGAAAGACGCTAATGTTGCTTGTTTCCAGACTCAAGGGAGGCTTGAGGACGGTTGCTCCTCCCTCCGTCATGGGTTTGAACCTGGTCAAGTACTTCGATCCCTTTCTGTGTGGCCAGACTCTAAGGGGAGGCTTGGTGACATGGTGTAAGGGTCGGAGTTGAAGGTTTAGGTTTAGCTCTCCTCTTAACTTATCCTAGGCCCACCCCAGCGCAGCACAGGAAAAGAAACGAAACGAATCTCGCGATTGCTGGCGAGCAAAGCACCATGTCCCTCAATTGTGAGGATTGCGCAAGCAGAACTGTCAAGCCAAAGCTGAGTCTTTCTGATGTCCCAGGCCTGGTGCCTCTGCTAACCGGCATGTGCAACAGCCAGGAGCTCGGCAGAGAGCTACCGGAAACCTACAACAGCCGCCTGTATGGCCTCCAAGCCCCAAGCAGTCCTCCTCGCCGCCCCGGGTTCACTCAATGCTTTGATCCTTCGAAGTTTGAAGTCTCGGCCCCCCCGAAGCAAGTGCTACCTGGTATCTGGGATAGATCTCAGGGCGCACTGGGTCAGAATTTCCGCTGTTCCTTGAGAGTTTATCAACTTGCCAAGCTTCGCTCTGGTTATGCTGATGATCAGGTACCAACTGCAAGGGTGGAGGCTGACCAAAAGGGCAAGATTTCAAACGAGAATCAACTCTACATCCGTGCGCAATGGTGTGTCTCGAAGGACAGGACAAAGCGTTCCAGGTACTGAAGGTGTTAAAACGCTGGTGTCCTGTGTAGGGTAACCATGATTGAGAAGGTCAGCACACCCAGTTTGTTTTCGGGAACCTTGCATCGCAGCAAAGCTGGACTCTTTCAGGTCAGTGTCCGCAGACGCTGAAAACTCTCTCCATGGATTTATTGCTGCACTTCTCCATGTACAAGGGGAACGCAGGCCGATTAAGCTTCACAGCCAAGATTCTGATTCCGGCGCAGCGACAGTTGCAGTTGCGTGGTTTCGCAGCAGCCTTGCACATTAAGTCGCAAAGTCTGTGCATACCCTTCCGGCAGGCATGATGATGGAGAAGGAGGCATGAACGGGACCACGCGATACTTGCATGGATGCTGTGATCTTCGGAGCAGAGACGCCAGCAGTGGAGCCTTTCCAAAAAGGAAGGCCTGGCTCGGTGTTTCGAATTGCCAGGTGTCGCAGGTCATTGAGCTCGCTGGGCGAGGCACTGGGCACGTGGAGTATGCCGCTGGGAAAGCAAGTACCAAGCAACACCCGTTTGCGCTTTCACGCTCCAGCTTGAGCAGGCCACATAGGCACCTTGAGGTCGTATGACGCTTCTGCAGACCCCCTCGAAGATGAGTGCTGGCTGTAGTCCTCCAGTTGTAGCGGGAGAGCGTTGGCATTGGTATCTACGAAAGACCGAGGGTTCGGATCCTGTTGATAACAGCGAGTATGAGCGCGGGGAGGATGAGCGATGATGACCCAGACGGTTGACATGATGTTATCGACGTTTTCCGGTGATTTGTGCTATCTGGTGTATCGTGTGTGGCAGTTTGCGGCACCTGATAGCAGTACTTCCGTTTACCACCGTTTCCTTGAATCGTTTTGCTCCTACACTGGGAAGCGCAGCCGCAAAGCTTGGTGTGCTTTACCTTTCCCGGAACTTCCAGATCAGATATGGCGACTTCCTGTGCCGAGGTTCCCATCGGCGTAGCGATTATCGCCAACATCTGCGAAAGTGTAGATCTTCATGACCGCATAGCCGCTCGTCTGTGCTCAGGGCGGCTCCCATTGTTACAAGCGGCTTTGCAACAGTGATCAGTGATCAGTGCTGATATCACCGTAGAGTCATGACAGGGAAGGGGTTACGAGAGTAGATCCCAGTTGCTGAGTGCTTGCCCTCTGTCTCCATGGGGCAGTGGCCGTTGGCTGGCCCTGATGATCAAGCCTTCGCAATGCAACATGAGTGGGAATGGACAGGCGGTGTGGCCTGAGAGAAGCCAGGGCTGTATTTTGAAGTTCATCGTTGCATGGGGGCTTTGGGCCACCAGTGCACCAAGAAACACGATTCCGGTGTTTGTGAGACCAGAAGCCGATTCTTCATTCTCCAAACCCAGATTGTCAACCCAAGCCGATGAAATGGTCGGTCTTCCCACTGGACACATGAGACCACAGCATCTCTCCTGGGTGCCGACGATCAGCTCCTAAGTCATAAGGTTGAATCACCCCTTTTCGAAGTCCTCACGGAGCACATCCACAATGACAATACGAATGCCGGAGCCCCAGGTTCGGACAGTCCAGGACTTGAGATGTTGAGCTAGGTCCGGGGTTTCAACAAAAAGAAGGTGTGTGTGGTTTGTTGAACCACTTTGTTCGGGCATTGTCGAATTGATCACGGCTTCAACGAGTCTTATTGGAGTCGGATGTGTCACAGCTGCCATTGGTACAAGGGGGCATATGATGCTTTTCCATGGAACATGCTCGCAAACATCTTTGAGATTCAGGGACGGCTTTGCTGATAGGTTCTTATCGGAGGCTTCGCCTTAGTAGTGCTGACATGGATTTCCGATGCCCGGGTTGCTTTGTCGGTGATTGCGTGCCTCAGCTTCCCAAATGACCTTCAATGCGACAGCCGCCTGAGTCACACCAAGCCTTCCCTGGAAACCACTGCAGGTACAAACGCAGCTTGGCGAGCACAGCATCCGGCAATAGGACGTAGGGGTGGGAGGTCTTGTGCGCAGGGGCTTGCTCAGTCTGCTCCATTTCTGACGGATACGTCGGATACGTGTAAGTTCCGCTGTCACTCCGTCGGCGCCTGCGAGGGGCCGCTCTGCCAAGACTCGAAGTGTGACTTGAGGCACGTGATCCGGGCATTGATGTTGCTCAGCCTGTCGCCGAAGTACCACCACGTGATCCTGACTACCGGAGCTACAAGTCTGCAATACGACAATCTATCGAAAAGCTGCTCCATGTTTACCTTACAGTCGCTTCGACGCTGCAACTTGCTTGCTGCGGAACTCTGCAGCAGATCTCGACGTGTCTTTGTACATCTGAGTGCTCCTGAAAGCCTTTTGAGCTGTTCAGCTCGGCTAAGTCCCACAGAGTGGAATGCTGAGCCTTAACCTCAAAGCTTCACCAACTTCGGAGAGGCCTTACCCAACATGGCAGAACCGAGCTTCGGTGGCTCCGTGCCCATCAGGCGATGGCCAACGTTTGCCCGATAGCGATGACAGAGCGGCTGAGCATCGCCATGCCGCTTTCACCGAGATGGCTTCAGGGAACTTCGGAAATGACAGGTCTGAAGCTTCTTCGATCAAGTGCGGACTCCGTCTTCGCTAATGGGTCAAGCTTTCCTTGCTCGGTCTTATTTGACAGGCAGACTTTTCAAATTGGGTTGAGGGCTTCGGGGCTTCGGGACTGGACCCGTCACTTCAACGCAACCTCTTGATATAGTCTGCATCTGCAGCAATTGTGGCTTGCATCCGAGGCGTGCGAATGCTCTCCAGATGATGGCTGCGGCTGCTCTGCTTGGTTAATCGAAAACCTGGTAAAGCCTGACTGATTAAGGTTGACTCGGTATTGGGTGTTCGGGGGGATTGGTCTCCCTGTGAAGCTTCTTCGATGCTCGCGATCGATTTCGGCTCGGCAGTTTCAGGTGGATCCCACGGCAGCGAGTGAGTTCTACTTTGCGATTTGCTCAGGGTTTTGGCAATGAAGTCAGGCTGACTGATACGACGTACGAAGCCCTGAACCATCGTCGCTAAGCTTGCATGAGCTGGAGAGTTCAAGCCGTAGTATGCCGCATGTCCTTGGACCCAGGTAGTTCTAGGGATTGCCCCTCCTCTTCTGTCCGTGCCCGCTCGATACTCAGGTCTGCGCGACACACCCAACCACTCCAACGGTGATCCGGCATGCATCGGCATGCGCTCAATGTCAAAGCAAAGCCCAGTTAGTGAAGAGGAAGGTCATTGCTTTCTTTCATAATCCGCATGGTTTGACCTGCCTCGATTGGGTCGGATCGGCCGTCAGACTGCCCATCAGCTGCGTGGTTCTAGACCTAGATGAGATGCGGTGCTGTGGGCTTCGATGATGTTGCATCCCATTCCGAAGGATGGCGGTCCATGCACAGGCCCCCAACGTCGACCGTAAAACTGTTGTTCGGTCTGTCGTGGCCACAAGCCGATACGGCATCCCCCTCAGCCTGCCGTCCGCAGAGTCTGAGCACATTCGAGGCCACTGACGTCATCGACCTCATGTTTCTGACTCCCAACGGCACATCTGTTCCGGCATGAAAGCCACAGGCTTTGGTGCATGGTGGGATGCGAACCCAAACCCAAAGCCGCCCTTGCCCAGGATATGCAACTCCATGGAGAATGTTGACATACGCCGGGCGGCGGCCCTTGTCATCGCCAATGCCTCCTCGGATGCCAGCAACCTCGCCGGGCTCCTGAGAAATGGGCGGTCGGTGACTTTCGCCCTCAGGAGGGTGAAGTTATCGGGGTGTGGAGGAATGGTTGAGGCTTTATCAAGACTTGAGAGGTGTAGGGCTGGGTGATGCGGGTGGAATACATCGTCCAGGCTCTGGCATGTTCGGGTTTCGAAAGAACACAACGTGTATTTCCGGGACTCAATGCCGCATCTGCCAATGGTCTCGGCTCAGGGAGAGGCTCAGGGAGAGCCAAAGGTGCGTTCGTCCGGCCCTCCACAGGCCCTGGCAGGCATGAGCTCGGCACTCAGTCTACTCGCACAGCTGGCGTGGCTTCACTTACGCGGTTGCTACCCAGTGCGTCTGACGACGAGACACGTCCCAACCTGTGCACCTTTGAAAAGAAGCTTGTCCTCCTCCTTTCGTTTGCTCCGATTGCCAAGTGTGTCTCCTTCTCTTCCTTTTCCACCTATGCGTGTGGGAGATGTCAACGTGAATTGAGTAGTCTGCATGCGGACGTGTAATACAAAGCAGTGCACTCTTTCTATGACTCCTCTCCGTTGTCTGTCTCAAGACCTCCTTAACCGTTTGCTGCCCTGCGTCTTGCTCGGCAGATGAATCTTTGCTGCCACTGGCGTGATCGCTCTTGCTGCAACGCCCGAGAACTTGACTCCAAAGACACAGGGCAGAAAAGTGGTTAAGGGAAGCACCCATGTCTGCGCTATGTATAGGGTCCTATCGCCCCAGGTCTTGCAGAGATTGCGGATTTCGAAATACCAAGCTGCGAGCTAATGCTGCTCGGTTGGCTTTGCCCTTCCCATGCCTTGGTACTAAGCCGGATGTTTGCGGGTTAACTTCCACAGAGCCGCACAATTCGCGATGCAGGTCCTAAACAAGCGGCAGCTAAGGACGGAGAAGTGCATCGGCTCCGGCTGCACCTCAGAGGTGTACAAAGGCACCGGAATCTCGCAAGTTTGGTCGCTTGCCTTTAAGGCCTCCCCTTCCTCACCTTGCCGTCGCTATTCTCGCTGCAGAGAGTGAAGGCAACAGATGGCAGACATAGCAGCATCCGAAGCCGAAGCCCTGTGTCCAGCAGAATTCCAAAATCTCTTTGTTTGGTGCAGTTCGAAGTTCTCCTGAGCTTTGCCATGGCAGGCTTCTGGACACGGATAGACACGGCCCCTTGGACTGACCAGCTAGGCGTTGGACGAGGAGCTTGCTTGTTTCTTGCTTGTCTTGCAGTGTCCAAGTCGCTACCAGCAGTCTCCTTCGCTTGCAGCGGTCAAGGCAGTGGCGATCAAGCAGATCACCGAGAAGACGGCAGCTTCGTTGCGATTGAGCACTCGAGACTTGCAACTTGATCATGCCCGGAGCAGAACTATGCACAGAGAGACCAGAGCACTGTGAACTCGTTTCAAGCTTCAGGCTATCCGACCAGATGAGCAGCTCGCGTTTGCAAGGGAGATGAAGGCATGCGCCGAAAGGATCAGAATGATGGACATGTCCTGGTGTCCTGATGTTGGCATGTTGAGGAAGCCGTCACTTTTGATGCCTTGCTCAGAGACCCCATGCATCGTGCAGAATCAAAAGGCTTCCGAGCTTCTGCTGAGCTTGTACTACTGCACTACGTCACTACGTTTGCGCTACAGCGCTTTCTGTCAGATGCTGCAGTCTCTCCCTGCAGAGGTCCTCACTAGAGTGCAGCACGAAAACCTGGTGCGCCTCTACGGCGTCTGCATTGATACTCCTCCTTTGAGGAGCCATGTGAGAGTTTGCTTGTGCCCAGGTGTCAGCAGCTCTCTTATACTCTTATTCGGAGTGGCGCGGTTGCTACACTTGACTGTGGTCCTCTCTATCTCGCGAAATCGTCTAGCTGCATAATTTGTGTGTTTCCGCGCGCAGCTGTCCAGCAGTCTGATCTGTTTGTGTGGTTCCAGTTGGGCTGCTAATCGACAGCTTGTGCAGCCAGTGGTCTTGTTATCCTTTCTGCATCGTGATGTCGCTGGGATGCCGCTGGCCCCGCCTGCCTTGGTTAAGCCCCGGGCCGTGCTCCTTTCACCCCTCTGTTTTGCCCACAAACCGGGAGGTGAAGGAAGGCCGCGCTCCTTTTACGCGGCCACAAATCGAGAGGTGAAGGAAGGCCGCGCTCCTTTCACCCCTCTGTTTGGGCCACAAGCCGAGTGGTGAAGGAAGGCCGCGGTCCCTTCACCCCTCGGATTAGACCGAGAGGTGAAGGAAGGCCGCGTACGCCTCGGTTTTGGCCACAACCGGGAGGTGAAGGAAGGCCGCACTCGTTTCACCCTTTTGTTTTGGCCACAAACGGGGAGGTGAAGGAAGGCCGCGGTCCTTTCACCCTCGGGTTTGGCCACCAACCGAAAGGTGAAGGAAGGCCGCACTCCTTTCACCCCTCGGGTTTGGGCACGGGCCGAGAGGCGAAGGAAGGCCGCGGTCCTTGCGGTTTTGGCACAAACCGAAAGGTGAAGGAAGGCCGCGGTCCTTTCACCCCTCGGTTTGGCCACAAACCCAGAAGTGAAGGAAGGCCGCGCTCCTTTTCACCCCTCTGTTTTGCACACAAACCGACAAGTGAAGGAAGGCCGCGATCCTTTCACCCCTTGGTTGCGGCCACAAATCGAGAAGGGGGACAGCTAGCTGTCCGTGAAGCCTCACGGCTTCAATGCATTCGGATGCTTATTGTTCCAACGTTTAAACAAAAGGCTGCTCCTTCAGGATCTTATCAGGGACCCCCTGAAACATGGCGTTCGGAGCAGAGTGTGTGCCGACACACCAACTGCACCTGGCACTTGGACTGCAGGATCATCACTGAATTTTGCGAAGGCGGAGCTTGCTTCGAGCTCCTCCACAACGAGCAGGACATAGACTCGCGGCCTCCTATGTGTGCTTTAGGTTAGGTCTCGAAGTTTCGTTTGTCCGTTTCAAACACAGCTGGCAGCGGTCGTGGCATAGCCGTGGCCTTTTCGATTCTTCGAGATGAAGATTTTTTGCCGTTCGTGTCATGGCCATGAGAATCAGAATTGCAGATAGGAGAAGTTATAGTCCGGGGTTCTAACCGAAAGAATCACGGTGGAATGATGCTGAAGGGTCCGCGGTGTTGAATAAGGTTTTGCAGCTAGTCAACTCCTAACATTGGCATCGTCCATGGGTTTTCTTGCATTTAATTGTGGTTTTCCATTTTCTTCGTCTGAGTCAGCAGCTATTGTCTTAGGACATCGGGGTGCTGTCGGGGTGCTTCTTGGAGCCGGTTCCCTGAAGAAGATGCATGCTTGCCCACTGAGGATCTGATTTTTCCGCAGCAAATCAAAATGTGCAAGGATGTAGCGCAGGCCGTGCAGAGTTGCATGTTCAACGCTGCCTGGTTGTTTTCTGATTCTGGGTTTGGTTCATCAATGAAGCACGGGTTCGCAGTGGGTTCTTTCTGCAGATACTTGCAAAGCCTCGAGCCCAGCGAGAATCAGTTCAAAAACCGAAGCTCATGGCGCCTGGTCTGGAGGCAATGTGCTACTTGCACACTTTCGACCCCATGATCATCCACAGAGATCTCAAATCACTGAACCTCTTGCTTGGCAAGAAGGTCCTGGGGCCCTCGGACGTCCCCTTAGCACCTGGGCATGCCACGGTCCACGGTCAGAATAGCCCGATGAGGCTTGATTGGGTTTTTCGTCATCATGTGGTTGCCCTGGACTTTGAATGGTTCCGGCGATAGCAGAAAAGATGATAATATGCAGGCGTGGGCTTGTAGTTTTCCGCTTTGCCGGCTAGCGAACGGGTTGTGGCGACTCAGTGCGGCACCTGCCATTGTCAGAAACGATCCTGACATCCACTTCTTTGCAGGGGGCCGGGTGGAGGCATGGTTCGAAAGGTTTCACAACGCAGGGCTTGGGCTTTTTTGCGTTGATAAAACCGTCGACCTCGATGCTTTCGGTGTCAGGTAAAGGTCTGCGACTTCGGCGTAGCGAAGCTCCAGGCCCAGGCTGGCCAGTGGGGCCAGACGCTCGGCAGCTTCAGCAGCTTCATGTGGGTTGGCATTGTATGGATTGCCGCGCCCCGAGCGGACCTTTTTCTTTATTTGGGTTGGCCCCGTCGTGGTTGGTAGTGATGGGCAGTGAATCCAGGTTTGTCTTTCAAAGGACATCATGTACACCGCATTTCCTTTACTCTGGTTTGCGAGAGCCGGAAACACTGGGGTCGAAATGGACACGCAAGCCTCCATCTCTTTTCATGCTCACGTCTTGGTGAAAGGTGCTCGTAGGCACGGACAGAATTGTTATCCATGCGCAACATGCATCAGCTATCGCTCTGCCACCAGGAGCGTCGGTGTTCCTGCAGGGTTAACTCGGGAGTTGCAGCAGCCTCCTGTTTGGTGGAAGCGGCTTCTTCCAAATGGCATGAAAACTGTATCCAGAGGCGGTTCGATCTACGCTTAGTTGTGAATTGCCTCGAGAAGGCAAGGGCAAAAGGCAATTCTTTAACAATAATTCCGTCCATGCCATGGCTGCTATGGCATCTTCCTACAACTGATAGATGCATGCATGACATTGAGCCACGTAGACTCCCAATTAATGTGCATCATTGAAACACCTGCTGCTGCATTAGGACCAGTTGGTGAGCCAGCTTGCAACCATCTCGCAAGCAGCAGTGGTGATAAGATTGATGGACGAAGCGATGGCAGCCCATGATATGGAATATACACCATCATGCATATGGCTTAGGATACTCACAGCAAAAACAGCGGGGTTTCATCCGTTAGCAGTAGCAAGTCTGGCATTCAACAGTTCGGTCAAGTCAAAGCAGACGAAGATTGACTAATGTTGACAATGTTGGTTGAAACTCTTGCAAGTTTCGGCAAACGTCTGCAACACCGTGTGCGGAGGATGCAGACATGGTCAGCACAGACCATGAGCTATGCTTTCAAACAAGCATCCAGGCCGGTCAGAACTTTCGCCTTGCTCTGCTCTGAACTTGTCGGTCTGTCCTCACTGCAACCAGAGGCTCGAGACACAGCACAAAATCAGCAGGAACCATCAATGAACCCTGGCTGTGCGTTGACATGTTGAAAGTTGAAACCGAGAGCCTTGAACGCAGATCCCGGATGGAATTCCGGAGTCCATGTCCTCGTTCTCCTGAGGATGACGGCGCAGGCGGGAACGAAACACTGGATGGCTCCCGAGATGTGGACATCTTCCACATACGACGCACCTGGGCTGGTCGTGAGAGGGTATGTTGCAGAAGCTCGTCCGGTTGTGTAGGGGCTCCCACTGTGCATGCTGATGCACAGAGAAGAGTTGCCCCTCACCTGACTGCATGCAGTGTCCAGGAGAAGGTGGATGTCTTTTCATATGCCATGGTGGTCTATGAAATTATCTGCCGCGAAGTGCCCTTCGAAGAGGAGGAGATCTAAACAGCACGGTCTGGGGTCTGGAGTTACTTTCAGCGAGGATTGGGCTTCAGATACTTCTCTCGCATCTTGACTTTGAGAATGCCTTGCAGTCAAGGCGATGTAGCTAGAGGCGATGCAGCTAGAGCCGCTGTCCGATCCCCTGCAAAGGTCATCTCCCTAGCCTTCCAATCCAAAGAGGGTGACGGCAGTCACTGTTTGGAAGTTTCGAGACTTACTCGAGACATCCCACACCCTCGTTCTGCCAGGAGCCTGCGGATGTGGGGAAGCTTGTCTGCAGGAAATGCTACAGCTATGCTGTGACCTCAGTTTGTGGGATGGACGATGTATGGACACGGGACTGGTGCTTTGGAGCCCAAGCCCGCCCAATGCTTTGCATCACGGTTCGAAGCTCCCTGCCGAATCTGGCGGCCTGAAGGCCAAGCTGTTTAGCCATCCGGATCTACTAGCCTGCGACATTTGCAGGCCACACCCCGACGCTTCGTACCCGAAGCCTGGTAGATATGATTTCGAGCAAAGCCGTCGAACACTCAGTCATCAGCTTTCAAGTCGAGCTGGTCGAGCCTACAGATCAAACTGCAAGGAAGTACACCCTGGCCGGTGTCCGACCCGACATGGACGCTGTGCCCCCGGACTGTCCCCCTGAACTTCTGCAGGCGGGGCCCGGTGTTCTTAACCTGTAGGTTCGGGAGAAGCTTGTGACTTGCATAGAAGGCGAGTCTTGGCTTCACAGTGGGTTTGGGGTTCGGCACAAGTCTTCCTGCGCCCGGAGGTCATGCAGGCTTGTTGGGCACAAGATCCGCGGGAGCGGCCCAACTTCCCTGAGGCGCGTCTTTGATCCTTCGGAAGCCGCTCTTACTGGCACTCCACGACCTCAAGACATTCCAGTGATGTCCAAAACCAAACGTAGACGCTGGCCGAAGGTACTGAGGCTGCTGGAAGCCATTTGAGTGTAGTTTGCCCAGCTTCTCCGACCCATGGGTCCAACCCCGAGGAACCTCTGTGGCACGGAGGCTGGCGCACGTAGGACCTAGGAGTTTCCCCTGCCGTGAGGCTCCAAGTTTTAATGATTTCACCCCAGTGGCTGGATCTGAGATGACATTGCTATGCTACTCGCTCGCTTTGACTATGACTATGTCTCTGTCGAACACAGATCGCCATACAACTTAGCCTCGATGAACTCGCACCGACAGGGGCCTAAACCGTGCAAGGCATTCCCCACAGAACCCCGACGGATCATTGCAAACCCAGAGCTCGGAGCATCTATCAGAACACGGGCTCCTGTCTTGGATTGCATTTGCATCTGCCAGACAATTCTGACGCGCACAAGTTCAGACACGGTTCCTTCTTTCTGAGTCGGTGGAAGACTAGGTTCCTGGCACCTCCGCCCGAAGCCCGAGAGCTGAAAGCCGGAAAGTGACTGGATTCGACGCTCGGAAAGGGGTGCTTCCGCTGCTGCAGTTGACGTGGTGCTACCCAATGGGTTGCAGTGGCGAGGTTGGCCTTCCTGACCGCCAGGCTTGTTTGAATCTTTCGGGTCGAATTGTGCAGTGGGCGCAAGGTCTCCGACGCTTTACACAGATGGCCAAGGCAGACAATCTCGCCAGCGGAATAGCATGTCTCGCTGTAAAAAGATTGCACGTTGGGATGCGTTGGGCCCTCACGGTGGGTCCACGCAGCGTCAGAGCCTTCATGTCGGGTATCCGCATCTTACTCACAAGCATGGACAGAAGATTCATCTTGCTCTTGGCGCTGAGGGGCTTTTATTTCAGGAAAGCTTGATACCAAAACCGTGAAAACACATCGAATCGTATCGAAGCAGAGAGGCAACTTCAGTGCTTGCAGGTTGGCACCGATTGCTTGGAAGTCTCGAAGGCTAGGCAGAGACCGGGGTCTCTAACCCCCTGAGATGCAAAGTTAACGACCAAGCTTTGCTTGAAGCCTTTGAGCCCCAGAGCCCGCTTCAATGCCATAGTTTGGCAACCTGAGCCCGTACTGCATCGAGGTCAAGGCAAACCTGGCCCACAAGCCGTACCTCGAAGCCCTGAGCATCGCCATGTGGCTGCAACTGTGAAGATTGAAGAGTTCTAACTTCGGGTAAGCTGGGCAGAACTGAGTGAACTGACGCAACTGAAAGCTGAGGCCATTTCCAAGTCTCAAGACTCTGTTCTGGTCGACTACCTGATGCAGTTTTTTCACAACATCGTGCCTTTGCCTTTGCACTTACGCGGTTCAGGTTCGGGGCGGTTCAGGGCAGTTGGCATTCGAGAGTCTGAGGAACTCCACGTAGGCAGCTGGGAACCAGAGGCTTGCTCGTCTCATGAAGCCATCATATGGCCGGAGTTCTTTGTGGCGTGTCAGGATTGGGGCTTTGCCGTCTCGTCCAGGAAGTCAGTCTTCGCTGACAGTACTGGTAGTACTTTGCATAGATGTTACTACCAGACTACCAATAGTGGGGTCTCGTCTCCATCTCTTCCATCGGCTTCGAGTCTGGACTCACGCCCCGCCGAAGCCTAGAGCTCTGCATTGTGTCAAAGGTGAAGCTCGATGGCAAGTGTGGTAGTGCCTTGGCTGTATCTTCTTGATTCGGGCTTTTCGCTCTCATGTTCCGAGTTTTCAATGATGGTCTCTTCCCGTTTTTTGTTGTTGTAGTTCCAACCAGGCATGCTCACAGCCTGTGGCTTCCACCGTCACATCTTCAACTATGCAGGGGCCCCAGTGCATGTTGCAGAAGAATGTCGCAGATTTGTTTTCGTGGAGGAGTTGCAGGAACATGGTACTTCACAAGTTACAAGGTAGGGTGGGTTCCCGAGAGCTCTCAAATCTCCAGAGGCAGAGTATTGGGGGTGTCGGTTCCGAGGAGCGACTGGAATCCTTGTCCATCGTCTCGGCGATCTACCTCTGTGACCTCTGCCGTCAGGCCCTTCTGTTGTCAAGTGAACTCTCGAGCTGAAGTCCTTCAAAAGCCAGGTGGCCAACACAGATGCGGTGGTGCGAGCAACTCTGCTGGAGGCCGACTTTGCCAAGTGTCTGCCAAAGGGTGTGGTCTCGTCTTGTTGATGCTTCTCCCGCTTCTCCCCGCAGTGCATCAAATCATGCCGGGCACCAGGATCACTTAGGAGTTGTGCGACACCAACGGGGATCACCCCTTTGTGGGGCATCGTGCGCGCTTCCTCTTTCCCCAGGTTCGGCCGAGGCCTGACCCAATTTTCCCGGATACTGGCAGGAGATGATCTTCTCGGTTCTTACGGATGCCTGGGTGGTGTATCTGGAAGCTTGGCTGCAAGCCATGTCCGCTTGTCAAGCATGGGCACCGGGAGCATCCTATCGATGCCTGGTCCCTGATCACCTAAACTTGCCTTGACATACTGCACTTGCCACCACTGACAGGTGCCTGCGGATGTTGCGCAAAATTCAGGGGCACACTCCACCAGAAAAACTCCTTGATGGTGGACGGCAATTCCCTGCACCCGCTGCCCCTGCCAACACTCCACGCAACAAGTGAATCACTGTTGGCGGGGCACAAGCCGGAATCAAGCCCTATCCCAAACTGCAAAGGCCTAAATCGACTTAATTCCCAAGTCTTCCCCCAAGCAATGAGAGGATGCACCGAAACCTCTATTTTCTCACTTGTAACCCTCGATAAGAAACAGACAACAGTACAAGACGAGTACCCTCAACCCAGCCGGGCATTCTCCACATTCTCCACACAATGCCGAAGCAAAGAAATCCCTGGCTGCACAGCGAAACGGGAGTTAAAACTTAGTCTCCAGTGTTTGTTTCCCATGGCGGGTCCGCGCAACTGGAAGGTGCCGGAAGTTGTCTCAAGTTGTAGCATTGTGTGGCAGAAGGGTTCCCGCTGAAAGGCACGGAGACGGCATTGGTCCAGGACTGTCGTGGCAGGTCCTGGAGGGCGGAAAGCTGAGGGAAAACTCCACGCGAGGTGTGTCTATTCGTGAAGACATTCGGCCTCGTGGCTCCTATAAGATTCATAGCTTGTCGCCGCTACACTGGTCCCGTGCTTTTTCATTACTACTGTTGCGAGGCTAGACCACTAGTACTGCTATTTGTAGAGATTCTCGTCTACCGTGATTTCTTGGCTGTTTGATCTGGCTTGATGGTCATACACATCAGCTGCCTTGTCCTTGTCTTCATACAGGCCTGTCGTCATAGTCTCTGATAAGATATTGATTTATATACCTTAAGATGTTCTACTGGCATCTTTGGTAAGTTGCTACAGCTGCTTGTAGGGTATGAGTTTGCACGAATTTTGTCTATCTCACCTGAATGTTATTGCTTGGCTGTGTTGCTACATTACCCGCTGATATCTGTACAAATACGAGACAGTGACAGAACAAAATGGTAGCGAAAACAAAAGAACGGGTAATGCTGGCATTGGGAGCCCGGAAAAAGCCCCGAGGAAGATCCGCGCCTCGCTCCGCATCTCGCGCTGATGTGCTCGGCGTCTCTTGGCTCGGCAGCAGAGGCCTAGAAGTTTCAGAATTTCACTGCGTGTTGCTGTATGAGGGGCGTTTTGCTTGTGAGAAGCGGAGGGCAGTCTTGTCAAGACATCAACCGAACCAATAGGATCCTCCATTGTTTATGGCACTCCTCAGCCACTCCTCGAGCAGCAGTGTCGTCCCGAGGCCGAACCCTTTAGGGCCTCGTCTGCTCCTCAAGACAACTGGACGGTTTTTTTCACTGGGCTTTGAAGCCTCAGGTTCTGCTACCATTCCGACTCACACCAGGAGTTCGTCCTGCAGGGAGGTGCGCAGGGTCAGGGATGCCAGAACGGAACTTTCTTGTTGACATGAAGTACGCGGCGTTTTCATCGGCTAGCTGCTTAAGACACCGGCTTGCATCCCCAAGCCACCTTCTCGAGTTGTCTTCGTACTTCGTAAGTGCGAAAAGGATCAACGGATTGTACACCCCTTTGCATGGCGCTGCTAAGCCAAGGTGTGAGGTTGGTGATCCAGATGTACACCAAGTCCAAGGCGAGGATGCCACAGCTGCCCCCAATGATGGTGACACTTCAAGAGGAGTGTCCTGCGGATTTTCTCTCCTAACAGTTGAAAAACCCGTAGAAAAGCCCACGCCAGGTGGAGCACGTCAGACTGTGCTGCCTGCTATGTCTGCTGTACTTGGCAGAAACCGGGCATTCCCAGCGCAGCATTGCCCAAGAGAAGGCCGATGCACCAGAAATCTTGTGTGAAGTGTCGCTGAAAGTTGTATTATTGCTCAGCGACATTTTAAGGAGGGATCTTCGAGTGGGGTGAGAGTGCATCTCTGCGCCAGGGGGTCGATTTTATTAGATTATTAGATTATGCCCGTCGAATGCATAAGCTTGAATGTCTGACCACGAAAATACATAAACAAAAATATGTAATCTGTGGGCCTGGGCGAAGCCCATCTTCAAGGGCCTACGTAATAACGTAGAAGCCCTTGACAGCTCAATCCCCATGCCTCTGAACCAGTTGGAACCTGTTAGATCTCGGGCTCTTCTTTGTTGGGATGTAAGCTGTTGTTTGCTTCAGGGCGGCTTCGGACAGCTGATGTTGTGAAGCCTATGCTGAAAATTGCAGACTCGTTGGTTGAGGGCGTGAAGATGCTTCTCACGGCCTGCGAAAACGAGACGCACATCGACCTTATCGTGAATGCGCTGAAGGTCCAACTGATTCTCTTTAGGGTGTGGTATGGCTGAGACAACAGGTCCTAACGTGTCTCGCCAGTCATGTGAGTTGACGACAGGGTGCAAGCTGGAGTTGAGGTTGTCACGGATGATTAGAGATGACGGACGAGGAGGAAGATCATCATTTGATCTTAATGCCAAGCTTGCGAACTCGATGTATGGATGTTCACATACTTGTTCTTGTCGATGCGGGAGGCCCTGATTCCTTTCGCATGCTCCGATGAGTTCCGGCCACAGCTGGGCATGGATGGCTGCTCGGATCCTACAATTCAATCACTTCAACCCTTAATGACGGCGCCGTCGGCGCGAATCAAGATGTACGCTGTCTAGCAACAGCGTTCAGAAAGAGACTTTAGACTGCCACAACAGGTGTGCACGTAACGCCGGGCTCAAGATTTAGCCAGTTGCGACTCTCTCTCTCTCTCTCTCTCTCTCTCCCTCTGCTGAGGCGGCTTGGACACCTTTTCGGCTTTCATGTTTTCCGTCCCTTTGCTGCATCCAGTTTCGGATACCCAAACTTCCAGCCTCACACATCTACCAAGCCACATAGAGAGAGTCATAAATCTGTTAAAAGCGGAACCTCGAGCTGCGGGGGCAAAGCCGCAAAGGTTTCGGTAAAAGCGGAAGGCGTCATCTCTAGGCATAGGACAAGAGTGCTCCGCTTGAGCCCCCTGTGTCCTCCCCCCACCAGCTTCACAACTTGAGCTCGGAGGACCAGCTGCAACTGCAGCAGCTGGGAGTCTACTTGCTGCAGAACCTTCTGGTCGCTTGGTGTATGGTTTGATCATTCCGACGTCCCGAAAGGAGTCAAGTTGAGACATCGGGGGTTACCGCATGTACGAATTGGACAGCTTTGGCAACTTAAGTCATGTGCGCTTCGTCGTAGAAATCAACTTCCCTGCCAACCTGATCGACTGAAGTCAATGCTAATTCGCCGGGTTTGTAGTTAACGGACTACCCAAAGCTCCCATTGTGATGCAGGGGGATCAACCAGAATCATGTTCTCTCCTGACAAAGTCCAAGCTACGGCAGACTGAGAGCAGCCGGCATCGGGCACAAAGGGAGCTTGGGACCACAAGCAGGCGCTAGCTCGCGTACACGTTGCCTTCTCAAGAGGATCCCATCTTGTATCCAGCTAGGCCGAACTGTCAATGCTTGATGCGACACGAGGAGTTTCGGGAGAATCGCCGCATCTTCCTCGGCCTGTCTGAGGAAAGGAAGTGTGAGGACTGCTGACCGATCTTCCGACTGATTTGCATGAAAGCACTCAGTGGATTGGGGTGGGGCTGGCAGGCTCGCACAGTCTGTTCTATTCGAGATCATTTCGGGCGGCCCGTTTCCTAAACAGTGTTGGAGAGAAGTTCTCCAGCTGCAAAGGGGCGGGAGGCGCCGGTGGGACCTTCTTGGCCTTTCATGCTTCAGCCCTTTGTCACTTGGCATCGCATCTGCACCAGCGAGGAAGACTACCTGGATAGCCTGCTGCGATTGCTGCCCAGGGTCAGCACCTGGGCTGGAGAGGACGCCTCTCATGAATCAGGAGGACCCTCTGAAGGTATCGCCCTGAAGCACAAATGCCCTGACAAAGGTTTGGGTACATGGACGGGTAGGGTTTGGACGCAAGTATCTGCTGTCGTTTGGGTTTTCTTCACAGTTGCCGCCGATGCATGTCGAGCATGGCCTCCAAGCCCAAGACCTGGACATCCCAAGGGAGTGCGCTTGAAGCCTTAAACCTTAGGCTGAGCAAGGCGGAAGAGTGAAACCCGAGCTTTAGAAGCCCAGGCACCGGCCAGCCGAACCGTATCAAAGCAATGAAGAAAGATGGCCGCTGGGCTGCATCCGGCGGGTAAAGGGCACCAAAGCTTGGGCTCTAGGTGTGCGCGTGATGGTTCGATCCGAGTTTGAACAAACGTCACGAGAGTTTGGTGTGGTAGTAAATCTCGGTCGAGTTGGCATCAGCTTCGCGTAACCTTACAGCTGCAAGCCTCTTCTGCGACGCGGGGTGCATGTGCAACCCAGCGCTTGCAAGCCGTGATCTTTGATGCCAATTCAGGGAAGGACAAGAGCGACCCTGAGCCGATCTTGACGAAGCACGACCCCTTCGTCCTCAGGTGCCTCGGTGCGTTCCAGTGCCTGCTTGTTGGGGTTTGGGCCAGTGCCACTGAGGAGCTGAGACTCTGGGGTCTCAAGTCTTCATGTGCCAGTACCTTGATGCGGCAGGTGCTGCATCCACTGCATCGCCCTGCTGAGCCTGGAGCACCACTTGGGGAGCTTCCAGCGTGGCCCGGGACGCGCTTCAAGCTTGAGGAACTTGCGGGCTTAGGCCCAGGGGTCTCGAGGGCGCCGGGGTGGTTCTCCACAAAAAGAAAAGGCTTGCATTCGTCCATACTCGTAAATTCACAGCGGTCCAACACCTCTGACCTGCCCTTCAACAGCCAACACCTTATCCCCCAATTGATGCCCCTACACCAGAACGGAACCTCTTGGCACTCTCCCGCGAACATCTAAATTTTGGTATACGCACACAGAAATACAGCGTCCGCGGAAACACGGCAAGAAAGCCGGCACATGAGGCTTTGTGGATCTGGGGCTCAACAAGCTACTCTTCGACCTTTTCTACTCCGAGCAGATCGACAAGTCCTCGGGAGAGGCAAGATCAAAACTGGACGTTCGTCAATGGATGTCGCAGATGAGTCGGATCTTTCCTTAACCGGGGGTTCGGGGCTTGCGACTTCGAAACATGAGAGCCAAGTTTGTTTCGAATGTTTTGTTTTGGCGCTTGTACGAACCTCTGGCAGAGATGAATAGCGGTTGGACGATCTCCAATAACCGATCGGTGCCTTTAGCATTCCTCGGCTCCACTCCCAGAGACCTGCGCACTGGTGAGTTTTCGTACTCCGCTGCGAGACCAGCAGCCGAGACCTCCAGAAGTCGTCACAGTTGTTCCGGCCTGGCCACTTCGCGCAGCTAAATCTGATCTTGCACTTTTCGAGGAGGATGGAACTCCTAACAAATCTTATCCCAAAGCTGGAGAGGTAAACCACCAGTTAGGACCACAGCACCTCCTTCGAGAGGCAGTTGTCCTTTTCTTCGCCAACATCTTGCACAGCCGCTCTTCTCATGCCTCGTGTGACTGTTCTCGTGGCTTGGGCCGGGCTGTCAAGAGGAGTTTCGAAAGTCTCAGAGCGACTGCAGCTGTGTGCAGTTTGACGGGCACGGTGCCTCGAAGTCGTGCCGAGGTTCGAAGCAGATCCAGGCGCAGGTCATGAAGGGGGCGGATGTGGTGCAGCTGCTGCTTTCGGCGAGGGATATGCCGCCGGCTTAGCGAAATCTGAAGTTTGCTTTACATTTTACCTCCAGGATCTGAAATGTCCCGGCCGCGACAATAGCTGTGTCTTTCTCTGTGGCGGTTCTCATAAGCCAAGGCTCTTCTCGCCGCACACGGTGTCGCGATGTCTGTCAGCACTTCTGTGTATCTCGCGGGTGCCCGACTTCAAGAGGATCGGGGGGGATCGGGGAGGGGGGTTGGGCTCGCAGAGGGCTTCGGAATGAATGAAGGTTCAGGGTCAGTTTGGATTTGCTGGGACTCCAGGTCAACATGGGGCTGTCACGAGAACATCTGAGATGGGACCAGAAAGCCGGTCGGTTCTGGAATGTCTCTAGCCCTGCGCCAGCTCTGGTGCTTTGATTCGCTCGTCAATCTGGTCTTGAAGCTGGCCCAGTGATCTTGCTGATTGGTCGGTGCGAAAGATGAAGACGCAATTCACCCTAAGTCGGTGACACTTTCCACCGACCTGATGCTGCTGCAGACTTGGTCCTGCCGTATCTCTGAAAGAGTGTCATTGAAGGTTGACAGGACATTGAGCGGACAACGCAGAGGAAGAGAAGGATAAGGAGGAGGATCGATCGCAGTGGACACCGTGGTTGGCGCCACATCTAAGCTAAGGAAGAAGACTTCTGTTCTTGCGCCACTCTCTCCACCAGGGATTGCTAAAAGAACATGGCTCCATGCCTCCCACTCACTTGACTACATTCTGTGACCGCCTGCATCCCCTGTCTTGCACCACAACACGAAAAGCTTGTCCATGCAGACTCTAAGTTGGAAGCCAGAGTTAGAGAGGCAGCAAAGCAATCTGACAAGCACAGGGTCGTCCTCAGCCACCTGGACTTGCTGATGGCAGACATCAATGCAAATCTCAATGCCGAGGATTCTTGCACAGTTGGATTTGAGGATTTGTGCGTCATCGTGGTCCGTACTGAAGTGCTCAATCCTTTCAAGCCATGGGCATGATGTGCAAGTTCAACATCCCAATGTCATTCAAACCTGAAGCCTCCGGAAAGCAGAGCGAAGGGTATGAGTTATGCTATCTTCATTCCGCGGAACCACCGTGTGCGTCGAACCGTCGTCTCCGCATCCTCCCGGGTTTTTCCGCGTGCATGCGAATGCGGCTGAAAGTCCTCAAGGTCCCGGCCGGTCAATTCAGCCATGCGACAGGAGCGTGACGAGCACTTCTACCAGATCGCCGCCTTGCAATGCGCACTGCTGTCGGAGCTAGCACGGGCCTCCTACGAGTATCACGAGCACCTTGACGTAAGTTAAGGGCTATCGGCATCAAGAACTTTCAATCTTCCACGCAGGCTCGATTCATGTTGAGAGCTTCAGGGTCTTAGGACATCTTTTGCGCATTTGATCTAACACTTATCGGCTTCTGCTCGCCTCTGCTTTCCAGGCGCATGGCGCGAGCTGGCATGGTGGAAGCGCTCTTGGCATCTTGGCAAGCAAGGCATGAGATCGAGCATGGGCCTCACTTGGAGGTAACTTCTCACCTAGTCGTCTGGTCGCCCGATCGGTCACTCAAGCTTCTGCTGAGCTGTACGGAGTTCGGTTGTGGGCAGAGCCTGCTTTTCCCAGGTGTTCATCACGATTGCTGGCAAAGGCCTCCACGGTGAAGTCTGCATAGAACTGTTGATGGGCTCCGTCTTCGGCATCGCAGCACTGGCATCTCGGCTGACTTCTGACTTTCGTACCTTCGAACCGAGGCCCATCTCTTTTCTTAGTACCCTAAACCCTAAACGCGTGTGCACTTGTAGGCGAGGTAAGCGTAAATCCCGGAGCTTAGCTACAGGTCGGCTCGCCCACGAGCGGTGAGCATTCCATGGCAAGTCTGTGCCTCGCTTGCAACATCTTGACTTGTGCAGGAGGATTCCAGAGGATGTGTGTGCATGTGCGTATGTATGTGTGCATGTACGCATGTACGCATGTATGTATGTATGCATGTATGTATATAGGTATATGCATACATACGTACGTACGTACGTGCATGCATGCATACACACACACAGACATACATACCTACGTACGTACATAGCATACGTGTATATGCATGTGTGTGTGTGTATATATATATATACGTACATACATCTATATGTATAAAGAGATAAATAGATACATAACTAGGTACAGAGATAGATACATAGATTCGACAGATAGATAGATAGATAGGTAGATAGACAGATAGATAGATAGATAGATAGATCGATAGACAGATGGACAGATGGACAGATTGACCGTTGGACAGGGAGAGAGAGAGAGAGAGAGGTACATATATATATATATGTATAGATAGATAGATAGATAGAGAGATAGATAGATAGATAGATAGATAGATAGATAGACGGTTGGAGAGGTAGATCGGCAGAGACATAGATAGATGGATACGTAGGTAGATGGGTAGATAGAAAGAGAAAACGGATTCAGAGGAGCTGCAGCAAACTCGTTGCTACTTCTTCCGGCTGCAGCAACGCTTCTAGGCGATGCTGATGCTTATTGCAAGTAAATCTCGCCGAGCTTCCAGGATCTTCCCGGCCACTCGCATGCAGCTTCTCCTGTCGCTGCTGCGGCTGCCGCAGGCCCCGCGGTTGCATACAATTCACCCCACGGCCTCAACCCTAAACGGCCCTCTCAAGCTTAAATCCACGCCCAGGAGGATATCAACGAGGCCTTCCACTCGGGAACTGTCGGACTGCGCACGTTGCAGCGTGTCATCTACCCCAACATCACGCCGGAGGAGCTTCTGGGTTGTGAGTTAAGTCGCCGGCAGCTGTTATAATCAACAGTTTGTGTCATTCCAGCCTCCATTCGGAAACAGCCTCGCCTTCATGCTCACGTTGTGGACCCAGCGCCACCCTGAAGGAGCTGCATGTGGATCAGATGGACCCGCTTAGCTTTATTGGGAGCCTTGGGAGAAATGCACATTCTGCACTTTGAGTCTTTGCAATGGCAGAGTTTTTGTGTCTTTGTTGTTTCTTTTGTTCGGAAGGAGTGATGTCAGCATCTTGCAGCCGTGCCAGTTTCACGCTTCTGTCCATCAGGAACTGTCCCATCAAGCCCGCGAACTTCATTTATCGGATACTTGTCTGGGAACGGGCATATGTCGTTGGCTGTTGAATGACAAGCGCTCTTCCCCCACATGGCCCACTTGGGGACTTGGGTGGAAGTCGGATAAATTTGGACGAGAAGGGCAGGCCGCTCTTCGTCGAATCTCCAGCCACTTTGCACACGCCCCACCGATGATTCTGAAGCCCCCTTCAAATTCGCGAGGAATGTGATCCGCACGATGTGTCTACTCCTTGCTCACCATGAGATGGGCCCTAGGCGGACTGGCTTTGCACCGCATGCCAATGTCCTTCTCGGGCAGGGTCTTATTTGGGCTTCATGGAGACACTGATACTTCTAGTGCTGAGAGTACAGCTGACCACCTGAAAAGCAGCAGCCTGAGCCCGGTAAACTGATCGCAGCGCTGAACACCAGCTTCCCGTTGGCAGGGTGCAGCAAGCCATCACCCCGAGCAACGTGGTTCCCACGCGGCTTGGCACAGCAGAGGCTCTCTTGTCAAGGTCCTGCCCCAGGCAGCGAAGTCTCAATTGCCTTGTACTGAGCAAAGGTGCCTCTTCGCCCTGTCTGGATGCGAGGACACCTACGTGCAGGCCTCTCGGAATTATAATCAGTTGTGGTGGCAACACTGCGGCAAAACTCACGATTCCCTGCAAAGACTGTGCCCTGCATCCCAGATGTCAGGTGTATGGCTTCCTGCTGGTCGCGAATTTCTCCCGGGACAGGAGCTGCTCCGACCTTTGGGAATGTGGCACATTTCCGAAACCTGCAGATCTGAGGAGCCTGCTCTATAATTTCCTCAACGAGTCTGGCGTTATCAATGCCTCTCGGCTGGAGTGATCTGATGAAAAAATTCGGGGGTTCCCAAGAAGCTGAGCCTCTCGTTTGTGTTTTGTCCTACTCCCCGAACACTTCCGAGGAGCTGCTCACGACGATTAGGCGAGCCGGACCCAGCGCGAGCCAGCCCGAGGCGCCGCTTGGGGGGAGCTCTGGTTGAGAGACGGCCACCGGCCTAGCATTGGCCACCATTGTCTGACAGTCTAACAGAGGCACCTTCCTCACTTGTTCCCCCACTTGACTGGGGCCCTCTGTTCTCTGGTTTCTGCCCCTCACATTGCTCGGTTCCCCTCTGGACAGTGCTCGGATTCCCGTTGCGGGTTGCCGGCTGCGTCGTTGAGCTCACTTATTTCGGCTTTTCGAAGCGGCTTTCACTCCTTAGCTCATCACGGTTTTCAGCTTCTGATGCAAGGTTTGGGGTTCGGTTAACTCCTTCGTCTTTTCCTGTTGGGTTCACCTCAAGGCTTTCGGCTCTCGGGGCAAGTTTTCGAGTTGGGATTAGGGTGGTGTCACAAGAGCATCTGTTTCGATTGGCAGCACCGTACAGACCGTTGATTGGACTCTGCAGACTCCTATCGCCTGAACGAGGAAGCCGAAGCCAGAACCACAGATCCCTGCAGGAGCAGGTTCCAGTCAAGGACAAGTTGCTGGCTTTCGTTTAGGGGCGGGCTTCGAGGAGCCACATGCATGTCCGGTTTTTAAGGTCTGCTCTCCGGGTGATGCAAAGCTCATGTTTGCAGAAGGGCCTGTGATTTGATTTTTGAATGCCAGACTCCTAGAAGCTGTGAAGCCCCGAGGCTCGCGACAGTGACCGGACCATGGAGCAGCGTCGCCGTCTCGCGGAACCGTGCCGCGGCTTTCAGCGAAAGTGAACTGCACCACGCAGGTGCGATTTTGGTCAGATCTCGGGCCGTGTGAGAATCACGGTTGTGTCGTGCCGCACGGGATTTTAGGGCAGAGGGGCCTTGGGTAGCAGATGAATTAGTTCATGGCAGGCTATGATCATCTGGAAACCCTTCTGTCCAGAACCTTGAGCTTTGAACGTCCGCATGGCTTTGGCTACCTTCTTTTTTGCGTTGCTCGCCTGGCCCCTGGACGAGCCTCTCTCATGATTTGCTAGCACTTCAACGAGGTAGAGACAAAGATGTCATCACAGACAAGCACTGCACCTCCATCTCGTAGGTATGCCTGCGACACCTAGCTGGAGGTTGAGGTTGCTTGTGCTGTTGTCCGGCGAACTTCGGGTGAATGCATGCATGATGTGCTTACGCACGTGGCCATGTCAACAAGATGCCTCTCCGAGGCTTCATGCTGGCCATGTCGGCTCTGACAAACTTTGCCGAGCCTCTTGTATTCAGATTGATTTCGCTAAGACTCAGGGTCCAACACAGGTGCTGCAAGCACCAGCCGAGCTGCTCGACGGGCTGCTTTCAGCGCTTTTCCCTAATCTGACGTTCCCGACACCCCAGGCGCGTCAAGGAGAAATACCGTGGGGACGACGGGGAGATCCCGGTGAATCCAGATATGAAGGAGAGGGGGGCCGCGAGGGCCGAGAGGAAAGTGCCGTAGAGCGACCTAGCAGAGTTTTCAGTCTCCCCGCTGTCACGATGATCCGGCAGGATGACGGCGGCCTCGTGATCTCCAATCGAATTACGCTGAACAAGCTGACGTCCAATTGCCTGCGAGTGCCTCCGCTTTCACTGCGGAATATGCGCAAGGGGGCTAGGATCTTTCGTTTGCCATGGGTTTCTGGTTCGTGCTCGACTTGAAAGATGCGGGAACGCCTTTGTTGCTTCGAGAAAGTGATTGAGTTTGAAACAGGGGGCATCATCTGCTGCAAGCGCTTTACCGCCTTACCTGCTTGACTCTCGGCCCTTGAAGGACCTGGACACCTCGGGCATGGAGAGGAGGCTTGCCGAGATGACGCCGACCGAGGACTAAGTGGGCTTTCAAGCGAAGTCCGAGCATGCACGAGCGGTGTTCGAGTTTGGTGTTGGGGAGAGAGGGTTTGAGAGTTGCAAAGGTACACATGGATAGAGGTCTTGTCTCACTTTCCCAACAGACCGGATAGGCTTAGGCGTACAGCAGATCCCTGAAGCTTACCAGGAGTTCATCTCCATGCTTCGTGCAGCGCAGCTGAACTTGGGATAGGGAAGCCTGGTGTCTCGCAGTCTCACTCCGCCGAGGTCCTGATCGCGGCGAACAACTTCACGGCCAAAGTGGAGCTGGAGGATCCCGGCCGCGGTGGCGAGGTGAGGATACACGTGGTGGCCGGGGGTATGTGGGCAGAGTCGCGGCTGGGTCTAATCTGGCTAAGTCATGTCTCGCTAAATCATGAAGCAACCGCATCCAAACCTGTCAGGGTAGAGCGCTTGGACCCATTCTAATCTGTCATAGCTTCATCTGTCACGCCTCTCCTGCTGTTAGAGTGCTGTTAGAGTATGACGAGAAGCACATTATGACTCGCAATCGGATGGTTGCAGGTTAAGCTGGAAGCGATGGACGTCTGAGCCCAAGCTCCTCCAACGGTTCTGCCACTCCGAAAAGTCCCGCAGTTCGGATCTCACCTGGGTTGGAGTTTGAAAGTTTGAAGTCCATTCCCAAGCTTCCTTTGTGAAGTCTCTGCTTGGAGTGTGCTCCAACGCAGGCCCCACCTTGGAACATCTGCCCGTTGAAGAAGCCTTTCCCAGACCTCCTACGTGAACCTCCTCGGCGATGACAGGAAAGCCAAAGATGCCTTGGTGCCTTGGTGTGCAAGAGAAGCGACATGTTGGAAGAAGCATCAGCTCCCGGCCGGGCTTTTGTCTGTCTGTCTGTCAGTCAGTCAGTCAGTCACTCAGTGTGTGTGTGTGTGTGCTCACTTAAGGTCCTACAGCCATTGCGCCACGACTTCCGGCACCGGCCCTACTCCGTGACATTTGCCGCATGGTCGGGCATGCCCAGGCATTTGTGCACTTATTATGGCGCTTCCAACATGTTATGCTCGTATGTCGTATGCCGGAGATATTGGCCAGCACCACAAAGACACCAGATTACATACAACACACCCACGCCGACTACCTAGCCCGAAAGTGGTCTGGCGGATACGGGGACAACCCGCCAACCCTCATCTGCGAGTGCCGGGTCCTCCTTGGACGAGCAAGTCTGTAAAACTCGGGGGCCAGAGTATGCCAAGCATGAGTGTTGACGTGGATGCGAAAGGATCCACGTTTCCCTCACGTTGACCGAGGAGCTTGGGCATCCTCCACAGCAAGACCACGGGAATGCTTGAGGCAGAGTCCTTTCTGGGCTTCTTGCTTTCCTTCTCGTTGAGCCGTGGCGCCAAGAGGTGATCAAGCAGTGCATGGCCGCCGGGCAGGTGCGAGTTGCCAGGGTACGGCAGACGCTATCTCTCTATCTCTCTCTCTCTCTCTCTCTCTCTCTCTCTCTGTGTCTCTCTCTGTCTCTCGCTCCCTCCCCCGTCTTTCTCGTGATTGTTGTAATGGAATGAAGCGTGTGTGAACACGATTCCTCCTCCGAGCCCACCCTCTTTCTGTGCCCCTTGGTGCCTTGGTGCTACAGAGTAGGAGCCGCAATGTGTGGGTGGATGCTGCTCGTTTGAGCCTGCGGGTTGTTACGGGGTCGCGACCGCAGGCCCCTTCCCTGATGTCGGTGATCGTGGAGTGTCTGACCGGCAGGCGGCCCAGAGGTGGCCCCCAGCGATTTTTGGTTTCTGTCGAAACGTTGCAAGGGTTGCAAGGCACGAGAGGCCAGCAGAGAGAGGGCGCTAAGAGAGCGCTTCTTCAAACACAAGGAGTCAAAAAGGCCCCCATAGAGGCCTGGGAAGGGCCCGCGGCATGCGCGAGCCGCCGAGGCCTCACCTTTCTCAGCCCGCTGAGCGTGAGCGCCTCAATGCTCCAGGGGGCCCAATTCTCCCTTTTCAGGATCGAGGGCAGATGCGGCCGTTCCACCGCTGAAACTCGCACGCGGTGCAATTTCCGCTTCCTGCCTTCACTCACCAGACATACTGTGTCCCAGATCCGGGCGCCGCTGACTGCGTACAGGATCTCGCAGGGCTGTCTGGTCCTGAGCATCGGGAAGGCCTCTGAATTTCGAGATCATACATGTTTGTCCACGCGCTGTGAGAGGGGATCCCTCGGTTTGGTTATCTTCAGCTGAGTGTTCAGGGCGTCTTCGGTGGACGTATTGTGGCCGAAATGGGGCTTCCAAGGGAAAAAAATTCAGCGATCCATCTCTCGCAGGTTCACGAAATTTCAGGGGCAGGCCTGGTCTCGTCAAGTGCAAGTGCCAGCTTTTGAGGTCCCGAGTGGCTGCAGCCAAGTCTCATGGCGCTTCGTGGCAGCACTTCCTGACACGGCATGCGGCTTTTGTTTTTGAAGCGCGGGGGAGGCCTTACTTCTGCTAAACCCTTGACAGGCTTCACAAGCACGCCCAGTGACTTGAGGGGAACGCATTAGAGCTTGCTGATCTTTTGGCATAAGTGAGAAATCGGAACAGGAGTTGCCTGTCTAGCACGTACGACCCGCATTGCTTCTCACAGCTACTTGGTGGAGTCAGGCTGATCGCCAACTCCCTCGCGGATCCTGCCCGGATCAAGCAGTTCGACGAGGCGGGACCATGATGGTGTCGGGTGCAAAGCAAGTTCCGGTCCATTTGGGAAGAGGAACATCCAAGTCCATTGCTACAGTAGCTCACTGGTCATGTGCCCTTCGAGGAAGAGCCCGAGTGCATGATCCGGGCGAGATCGGCCTCAACCCCAGCCAAGGTTTCACTTCGGGAAGGGCCTGGTGACTGGCATCTGCTGCCCCTCTCAAACCGAGGATTACCTCTTTCCCATGCTTGCCACCTCCACTCTGGAGATTCGACAGAAGGTCTTGGGAGCCAGCGGCCAAGAACCTCCGTGTTGCTCGGGGCAGGATGGTCGCAGGGTGCTTGCTTTTCTTTTTGAGGGCAGGCTCATGCCCTAAGACATCCCGCAGAGATTCGCACCGAGGTCTTGGCGAATGCCGCAGCGCAAGACGACCTGCTTGATCCTAGGCTTGCAGAGGTGTGATGCCTTTTTTTTTTGGGATCTTCGGAGGTGATGTGAGCTTCAGGGCTTGACCGTTTCCTGAGCCTCCAAAGCTGAAGAAGTGCAGAAATCCCTCAAGACACCCTTACCCCTTTACCTCCCGGCGATGAGGAATTCATTGTGAACTCCGGGGTCTTCCGAACTTGCAAGCCGAACCCTCAGCGGGGCACGAGGATTTCGGCTTCAGTGCCTTGAGCTTGCCTATTTTTGCAGGGTTTCCGTTGGGCTCCAGGGCCCATTCAGGGGCACCCTGGAGGCGAGTGTTGCCCTGTGGCCAGGGCAATCCCGGGCAAGGGCTGGTTCGTGGAGCACTTCGCTTTGATGATCGAGCTGACGCGCATGCTCACGAACCTGACGGGACCTCAGACCTTCGCGCTGACAGCTTTGCAAGGGGGGTTTTCTTTTCGTATTGTCCAAGGACCTGTCGCCCGAACACACACGAGGCTGTCATGACGCCAGATACGATGGCTGCTGGCTTACAGCAAGCGTATCAGATCGAGAAGCTATGCAAGATGCAAGTTTTCAAGCTTCTAGAGCCCCATTTCTGACATGCCACGAGGAGGCGAGGCATTCGTAGCCCCAGAGTAAACGAACAGAACACAGGCAAGGATCTCGAAGCTGAGGCTTTCCTCCGCGATGTGCTTCGTCACTGTGCCGTGCTCTTCCACACGGCCGCTCGGCTGAACACGCATATCACCTTGAGTGCCATTGGTAGATCCAGCTCACTTGGGTTCAATGCAGATGTCACCTTCGAGGGGGTTGAACCTGCAGAGGGCCCTTCTGAAGTGAATCAGAGGGGGTTCGTCTTCCCTGGCTCTTGTGTGCCTCTAGGTACAGCTGGACAAGGAGAACAAGGAGCATCAAAGTAGTGATGGTCGAGGTTATGACTTGTTTGCTGGCGCCAGTCAGTCAGTTATCAAAAAGCAGTGTCAGTGTCAGAGTTCAGAGTGACCTGTCTAGGATGAAGACAAGTACGACTACTACGAGGCTGTCTTTTCACGTCTCAAGGTTTCAGGTGTTCTCCTGTGGATTGTCCCCACCTGCTGTTTTGAAGCCTTCATGTTGCGGATGTGACGTGACTCCATGATCCCTTGCACAGAGACTCGACTCCACGCGCAGGGGACCAAAATGGATTGCACTGTAACCGCACTCGGTCGCAATGTGAGGAGATCTAAGCCACCGATCTTCCACAGCACAGGTCTCCCAGGTGACTCCCAAATCCGATGCGAAGAACCATGGCACTGGGTTTCGCCTGACGCATCCAACCTTGAAAAGCCACATCATGCTGAGCAGGTGTTCTTCGACCACGAAGATGCACCACCGCTTGGCTTGAGGCCCTGCTGTTGACAGTGCCCCCAAACACCGCCAAGCAGTGACTTAAAGCGCACGAATACATCACTCCGACGGAGGAGTCATGTGTGCCAGGATCCGTTGGGAGCTTCCGCCGCAGCTGACGGAGGCCGGCCGGCTTAGCGGTTTCACTGCTTGCAGCAACAGCTTTGAGCACAGAGATGGCTTGTGGAAGATGGAGCATTCCGAGCCTATGATCAGAGGTCTTATTCCGTATGTGCCTCTGGCAAGACGCGGTTGACGCGGTTGATGGACTCGCTTCAGACTGGTAGGTCCTGCCCAACACCCCGGCAGCACGTGCTGGTGAAGAGCTCCGCCCGGGAGACCAACTCGTCGAGGCAGAGAGTTGAAGAGAGCCTGGCGCAGAAAGATGTGAGTCGAGGCATTACATGCTTGGACGGGGAAGAGATCCTGCTTGTGGTTTCAGGTGAATGGAAAGGATGTGACGGAACTGGAACAAGGCCGGAAGTCTTCTCATGTTTGAGCCCGATTCCCGGCACGGCCTAAAGCGTGCAATCCGCCCCCTTGCCCTTGCGCTCCACTTCCGTCGTCAGGCGACATCGCCCCGATGTTTGAAGCGCGGCCGCTGAAGCTGCTCTTCCGCCGGAAGCCGGAGCCTCTCGAGGTGAGCGCTCTTGAAAGCAGAGAGCAGGGGTGCAACGATTGGAAAGAAGCCTCCCTTGAAGGTGGTAATTGACGAGAGCAACATGAAGATCGTGGGGAACATTCGTGTGGAGCAAGTCTCCAAGGCCCTTCGCAACTTCGACTCACCGCTCTCAGGGTGCTGTCCTAGGCCAGAGGTCGAAGTGAGAATGCTGCGCAAGCGCAACTGCCCAATTTTTAGCGTTGACCCAGAAAAGCCTCGCTGAAAGCTTCCTTCCAAACCCCGCCGGGACTGAGCGCACAGGTTTCGGCTTATGGCGACTCTGCGCAATATCTGGAGCCTCGGAAACCAGAATTCAGACTTAGACCAGTCAGGCGGCAGGGCTCTCGTGCTTCTGCGAGGAGTGCTTCAACCTTGCGGTTCTGGTCGTGCACAACCTGGCCGTGCAGGCCAGGACCTTGGGGGCCCGAAGTTGTTCGCCGAGTTTCGCTTAAAAGGCAAGCAATTTGGAGCTGCTCCACAGCGAGCCGCGCATTCTCATGACCCTCTTGGAGGTCGACCGGGAAGGGAAGCCGCTTTCAGGTCATTGCTGGTGGGCTTGTGGTCAGCCGGGCTTCGGGGCGCGTTTTGCGAGTTTCGTCGTGTCGGGCCGATGATCCGACCTCAATTTAATATTGAGAGCTCAGGGCCTTTGAGGCGGAGCCCTTGGAGCGACAACTCCAACGGAAGCCTGTAACAAGTGATAGCAAAGCACCGCTTGAAAGGTCATGCCGGCAGATGCTACATCACCATCACTTCGTCGGCTGATCTTCTCGACGTTGACTTGCCTCTGCCAGGAGAGAGCAGTGTCAGGTGCCGGGGAGAGACCGCAAAGCCGAGCAAAGCCTGCCATGCAGCCTTAAATCAGATAGAGTCCACAACCCTCAGTCACCGCAGTCCTCAGGGCCCTACGCCGAAAGCGCCTGCCCTCAACCAGAAAAACGCCGGCTGGCCAGGTCGGATTTTTCATGCCATGGCCGAATACTTCCAGAACTGCCAGAAAACGGATGCATCGCTCCACAAGTACATCATGTGTTCCTCGGTCTCTGTGCGATTCAGTGCTGCTCAGGGTTTTTGTCATCTGTCAAAAGGGCGGTATCGCAGCGGTAGCTGGACCCTGCCAGAAGTCAGAGCTTGCGCAAGGCTGTGCGAACCTGTACTACACGAGCATGAGTCGAGAAGAGGCACCGAAGCGAGGAATTTCCAGGGCTCAAAGCAGCGCTGCCTACTAGGAATCCAGAAATGGGGGGCCAGGCCCTTTCTGTCCACAGGTCAAACCAGATCGTGGAATGCTCATGTTCGTCAGCCGTATCTCCGCCGAGGAGGACCGCGATCGTAAGACTGACTTCGGACTCGCGGCTTGTTGCCTGCAGAGATTGGGAAAGAGGAAGCCTGTCAACACCTCCCTTACAAACGTCATGGAGACGTAGGGTGGCTGAAACACCATCCAACGTCGTACAGGAGCTTCGGCTCTTCTGCACAGGATGCGGTACTTGCATTACCCTACTCCAGTTCGCGGCACGTGAGGACGCCATGGTCTCGAAGCGGGCGCTTATTGAAATCCTGCATGGCATGTCCCAAGCTCCCAGTGAGCACAGGCACGTCGGGACGACTGTATTATCATGGACAGGGTCGTATATCTGGCGGCTAGGGCTAGGGCATGCTTCTATGTCCCTTGTAACATTGCCCTCGTAGATGTGCAGTTGCACTTACATGAGCCTTCGTGACCTTGGATCTGGTTTTGATCAGCCTTGGTGGGGTGGATCCGGGAAAGAAACATAGGACTGCAGGATTCAGAATGTGGTATGCAAGCTGCAAGCCATGACCAACAGCCATTTGGGTGCATGAGGTTGCAACTCTTCTGGGCCGGAGGTGTGCAGGTGGGGGCAGAGTCGTGGGTATCGTTGCTTGTTGAGCTGGTACCTCCACGGAACGTACTAAGCCCGTGTCACCTGGCCGGCCGCCCCAGAACGGCCAGAACAGGAGGAAGTTCCTGAGTCGCGAGATCCTTGTGCTGGCGACCAGCTACATGGAGGCTGCCTGCTAGCTTTCCCGTCAGTGCTGTCGGACATGGGGTTTGGTTCTAGACCGGCTTTGGATTCATAGCTGTCGGTGCGATTGTCCGGATTATGTGTGCCTGCGGTGTCTTGATTGTGTAGGCCTACAACCCCGACATCCAGATCCGGGCCTTCGAGTCCATGTACTTCTGCACGATGGGTGCCTGTGCACCCGAGCTCTGGTCCGACCTAGAGATCCTTGGCCAGACAACCCCCGCCCTTGAAGGACCCCTGATGCCAAGGCCTTTGCTTTCGCCCTTCTCTGCCCAGGATCCTTCCCCGCATGGTGCGAGCAGCGGGCTACGCGCGCCCCGGTATGCGTCTTGAGGTTGGGGCTTGCGACAGGGAACAAACTGAGCTCTTGAAGCAAGCCGGCAAGCAGCACAGCCTCACATTTGCGGGAACGTTGCTCCCAGGCAGAGTATGGCAGAAGAGAGTCCTTCGGAGCCTCTCCTGCGCCGGCATGCAGACGTGCTTGGGCTCGGAAAGGGGGTAGCTGTGGGTGATTCGAGTTGTACAGTGACAGTGGTGGGTGTGGCTTCGATTGAGAAGGTGTGGGCAGCCGCTGAACGTGTATGGCTGAAGTGATTCTGTGGAGTGGAGAGCGAAAGCAAGAAAATACACGAGACTATTCTTCCAGTCAGTACATGCCAACTCCACGAGAGAGGCCGCGTTTTTCTGCCTTTTTGAAAGAGTACGAGTACCTCTCAAGCTCCGAGCTTCGACTTCTTCCACCAAGGCGCTGTGGGAGATCTCCTTGCGGACCCTTCACCACTGTCTCAGGCGCGAGAGGAGCATTCCATGTTTCAAGGCTGACGTGGCTCCTGCGGCGTGCATGTGGGCTGCATCGACTGTTTTTCGGAGGGCTTGAAAGATTCTGGACCCACAGGGATCCAGTTGAGCCAAGCCTTGCCTTTGTGCCCTTGCCTGGCCAGTTATGAGCTGCTGGTCCAACAGATGCGGATTCTCGCTCAGCAAGCCGAAGAGTTTTGGGCATTTTTTGACGGCACAGGGTGCTAGCCGGCAGCCCTGAACGGGAAGAACGGCATCCACTACTTCCGCAGCATCTCCAACTAAAGAATTCTAGAACAGCAATCATGTCAGCCCCCTGGTCTGGGACGTTCCCAAAGCGCTCCCGAATTTTGCCATCCCCTCTGCAGTCTCCCTGCATGTTCGCACCCATGCGAAAGGTCGCTGATGATGCGAGTTCAAGCTCGATGAAACCAAGGATCCCGGATCTCGACCGCTACTTGATGGAGCTGCTGGTGGATGGGCGGAAGCCGCCGGAGCTATCCAAGGCCTTCGAAACGTCTTCGTGACTTCTCGCCGAATGGACGCGAATGACAGAGAAAGAGATGTTGGGAGTATTGTTCGACGAGTCCAGATCTATGACGGCGACTACTTGTTGCCCAAAATGGAAACAGAATATAACAAGCAGCATCAGTGAAGGCCCGCCACCAAGCTAAGCAAGGAGGCTGCTGCTGCTGTTGCTGTTGCTTCTGTTGTTGCTGCAGGAAGGCGTTTGTGTCGTCGGGGTCGTGGTGATGGTGCGATGGTGGTGCTGGCGGGGATGGTGGCGGGGATGGTGGCGAGGGCGGTGGTGGTGGTGGTGGTGGTGGTGGTGGTGGTGGTGGTTGTTAACGTTGTTGTTACTGCTATTACCATTTATGCTTCTCGGTCTTAGTATTCTTCGTCTTATTCTGACCATTTGCTACACGGAAGTCAAACAGGAAATGTGAAATCAACAGCGAGTGCTTTCACAAGGTACCTCGCTTGTGGAGGAAGCACGTAGCACCGATCGGCAGCAACTTTTGCATTCGACCCACTGTAACGTCGACCCACTGTAACGTAGGTTACCGTCAATGCACGATGGATCTCATCTTATTGCCTCTCTGGCAAATGTGGGACGGTGCATCCAGTTGCTAATTGAGTGCCAAGCGACATCGATCATTTTCCAAAGCAGGTGGCTGCCGACCTCATCGCGGGACTTTTGCAGCCTCTTACCTGGGTCCAAAAAACGTCTAGCAAGGATAAAGCAGTCAAGCTTCTTTTGTCTCGCATGCACACACATTCGGAGCTCATGATAATTGTGGGTACATGGTTGCTGCGGTCACGTCTTAGGGATTCCACTACATGACAAGGTCTATTCAAGGAACATGCTCTCAACCACTTGCTTGATCCGGGGCACGTTCCATGTGCAAAGCGCAAACTTCACACCGTGATGCCTTCACACCGCGTTTGGCACCACAACCATAAAGCCACGTTGCAGCAACATGTTTCATCTTGCGCGAACCATGCTGCTAAGACTATCATGTTCGCTGACAAGCTGAGAGCCCCAACTCATCATGGCTGTGGCTGTAAGAAGCAAGCAGCGATGCGCTCGCGTCAAGCCTGGAGAGGCCTTCAGCTACCCTTTACCTCCCCAGATCCCCGTTCCTATGCCGAATTCGGGATGATCTAATCGAGGGCAAGGGTCAGACAGGTAGGGAATCCGAGGTCTTCGATCTCCTCGAACCTCTGGACGCGATGGAGGGGCCTCGGCGTGGGCGAGCGCCTGGTGGGATGGTTCAAGGCCTGTGGGCCGTGAAAGGGTTTGGAGCCTTGACGCTTCGAGTCGTTTCCTTGTCATTGCCGTCGCTTTTGAAGCTGGAGTCTTAGCAGAGTCTTCGAAGCCCCGATGTCCAGGTGCACCGGAAGAAGCTTCTGGACCCGGATCTTGGTGCTCAGGGCGGTACACAGCCCTCAGACTCGCTGGACGCCATGCTACTTTGACTGCTTTTTCAGTCTCGGGATGGTGTGGGCCTGGGGCGAAGATCGGAGACGCCCAGCCTTCATCAAGAATTCTCGCTTCGGGTTTGAACGAAGCTGTCTTTCCCTGTACTTGCCAAACCAACAAGCCGAGGCTGCACATGGTGCTCTTCGCCGTCGAGGCCAGTGGGAAGTCCTGGCTCTAAGCTAGACTCGGAAGAAGGGCCACAGCTTGACTCCTGCGCGACATTCAGCAACGATTCTGGATCGACTTATGCAGCTAGGTTTCATCGCCAATACTTGGCCTCCATCCTCCAGCCTTGCTGCGAGGTGGATTCCTCCATGATCGTCGCGCTCGTTGCAGACGACGTCCTCAGCTGTATCGCGCACCGTCTTGAGGAGCTGGTTCTCAAGAGCAGCGATTAGGCCCCGTTAGGCCCTCGGGTTTGATGCACAACATGACTTGATCGATTGTCCCCAGGCTCGAGTCCCACTCCTCGACTAGACCCCAAGAAGCTTCGTACAGGGACCGAAGGCACGCATTCAATGTAACCATATTGCTAAACATAGCTCGGGGCGATAAGAGATAAGATGCAACGACAGCGATTCAATCGGGGATAGGAATCCGCGACTGTTTCATTGACAGACCCATGTTGCCAGCACAGTAAGCTTCTAAAGAGTTTTGAGAACTCATCTCTTTCACCCAGCCTAAGAAAAACTAAAGAACCTGAGGAGCTGTTGTGCAGCGTTCTGGGCACGGCTGCAGATCCATAGATCGAGTTCGCTAGCCAGGAGCTTGCCGCACATTACAGCCACTGGAATGACCTCGCTGGAGGTCACAAGCTCTCGGAGGACCACAGGTTGCTGCACTGTGGGCCCTTCTAGGTACTTTGGTTGGTGCGCAGTTGCTGTGCCGCAGACTGGGACTGGCTGCTGACCTCTTCCAGTCGGGTCGAGTGTGTGCCAGCCACCGCATGTCCTCAGCCAGAAGCAAAACTCGGCGTTGCTTCACTTCCACACTAAGGGGTCTCAAAGCTTCTGCCTGACAGCGAAGGACCTGGAAGCGGAACGTGCCTGGCAGATGCGGCAAGGCGAGGATGCACATGAGATGCCACCAGGACCCGGCAAATCATCAGACTTCCACATCGCCCTGTAAAGTACGAGACTCGCAGAGTTTCCTCCCAGCGCAGGAGTGCATCGCCCCACAGCCGATGAAGTCGCCAAAGCAGATGCTTCCTTCAGGCCATTCCGTGTGCCAAATACCAGAGCTTTATCCTATGAAGGCATCTTGCAAAGCAGCTTCCACAGTGCAGCTCGCCAAACCTGCATCCCTTTTGTACTTGCAAGATCGCAGGATCATTGCTCAGCTGCTGACAGCCCTTGTGGCCAACGAGCATGGCCTATCAGTCGCTCGACATGATAGGAAGAAACCACGGAAGCGCAGCACCCCGTGACTTTCACCGCCCAGGCCATGAGTGCCCTGAACCTCGAGACGCCCCTGGTTTCACTGCTGGAGCTACCGACGGCGACACTTCGGGTCTGGGCCTTCGGCATGCGAAGACTTGAACAAGGGATCAACAGGAGCCCACTTAGGTTTTTTTGGTTTGTTGGGGAAGTGTCCGGCTTGAGGCGTCTTGGAGCATCGTCATGTCAGAACAGGTTTGTCAAGTGCATAGTCGCTGAATGTAGCAATGGGAATATGGACGCTTCCGAGCCGGTTCAGTCCTCCAGGTCCCCGTGATGCTGGTGCTTTGTGCGATGAGTTCCAACAAGGCCAGCGAGTTTGTGGGTGTACGTTACAGTGTTACAGGGATTCGGCCCAGGATTCTGGATTGTTTGGTGGATGTTAGTCGGTTTGGGCTTTTGGATGTTGAAGTGGACCTGTAACTTGCACAGAAAGCTGAATGAGAGTCGCGGCAATTCAGCCGTCATGTGCATGTAGCTCCAGCTTTCTTTGAAGGGCCATACAGGGTTCCCGCTCCAGGCAAGTTGTCAAGTGCTGATGACCAGTGACAAGTCGGCGGCCCATGGGGGGCACAGGACTTGCGTGGGCATTTCAAGAAGGACAGTTGAGGCTCAGGGGGGTGAGCCCTGAGCATACTGGGCGTGAGGGCCCCGAGTCCCAAGCTCCTGACATATGGAGTTTATCAAAAGAGGTTTGGAAGAGAAGCTCATCGCCTCTGGGAATTCAGGTTCGTGGGTGTGCTCCGGCGTATGGAGAAGAAGCTGGCCACTCTGGGAGAAGCACCACCAGTGAAGGACTCTGCCAGAACCTGGAAAGCAAAGCCCGGGCGAATCCTGACCATGTTTTTGAGTGCTGAGCTGGATTTCCCGAAGCGCTCTCTTGCAATCCCAAACCCTAGCTGGAGACTGGAAGGATGAAGTGGAATACCTGGTCTGCATTCTGGACAGAAGCTGTTGCCACGCCGACTTGGCCAAAGTCGCGCAGGAGGGGGAAATTGGACCGGAGAAGCCCTCAAGGGAAGGTTTCGAGGCCTGAAAACTTCAGACCTGTGACTGCAAATCCGTGCTGTCTCGCACCCCTGAAATTCGTGGATTTCTAGTCTCCCATCCCGGCCCTCAGAATCTGTCTGGTCTGTCGTCAGCACGCAGCTTGCCCGTCCGTGCAAGGAGCACCTCTTCCGGCTTCTGTGCGTCTTGCCTGCCAGGCCGGTAGGACCCGGTAGGGTCTGAGAAATCCGCCCTGGTGGTTTGGGTTTGAAGCGAAAGTCTCAGAGTCTCCATCACGAAAGACCAACTCGTCAAGGCCGTGAAGCTGCACCCCAGAGTTCGGAAGCCTCGAAGCCACTGGCTCCAGGGCAGAGACCCTCGCTGCACGAGTGATGTCCTTGAGGCGCGAGCCTGTGGCTGGGCTGGTGGGTTTTGACTCGAAGCACCGGGGTCTTGTATCGGAGTCCTGACACGGTGCGTGATGGCAGCAGCGAGGCTTGAGCGAAATTCCACCCAGCACACCTTCATTTCCCAAGCCTCTGCTGCCGGAAGGGCGCTGAGTCGAGTCGCTTTCGTTGCCCCGGAGTGCATGTGTCTTGGCGGCAGCCTGGCCGTGCTGTCGAATCGCAGGCTTTCCCCATGTAAGCGCCGTGCAGCCTGGACCGAGGAACGATTTCGCATTGGAGGGCGTGGCATGCCTTCAGCACCTTGGCGCTAAGCCTCTAAGCTAACATGTCATTCTGTGCTGCAGCAGTATTCGTTCCGGCTTTCCAGTTCCAGCAGAGCTCGTATGAGAGTTCGAGGATTCGAGCAGATTGTGCGAGATAGTGCGCACTATCTGAAGCCGCAAGTCTACTGAGAAAGGGTCGAAAGATACACGACAGCTCACACTTCGGTTAGTGTTGCAGACAGCAATCAGAGTTGGATGAGGTATATTATGGCGGTCACTTCAGCACTCAGCCTTGGTGCCGGTGAGAACACGGAGAAGGCAACTTTTGCATGAAGAGCGGGTTCCATTCCTTTCGCCTCGTGCTGCTTGCTTCGCTGGGAAAGGTAGAGTCCATGTGACCGTTGCCTGCATTCGCTAATTTGTTGCTGGAGGATGTCAAGTCCTTTGGGCGGTGATGGAAGACTTTGCCATTCGTGTCATTTCTCGTCTGCCCTCTTGCTCGGGAAGCGGCGAGGGATCTGAATGTGTCACCGAAGCAGAGCAGCTGAATCTGATGCCAAAAAGCTTCAAAGCTCGGGAGGCGGGCGTGCGCCGGAGACTGCTTCAAGAAGCCAAGGATCTTGGGGGTTCATATGTTCGAGGACATGCTACGCCATGTCTAGCACAGTGCAGGCTTCTAACTCTAGCTTGTGCGAATCTCTTTCAGGCATGCTTGTGTAGAAACCAGGGACCGTCGCATGTCCACGAAGTGTAGGCGCAAAGCCATGCGCAGGGCACAGTATCAGGCACAGAAGTATGCAGACAGCCGGATGGAAGCCTTTTCGGATTCAGGCAAGTCTTCCGTCATCCATTTTCCTCGGTCGCTTGTCGCAAGGAGTCACTCGCAGCAGAGCCTTCGCTGTCGCCACTGGTGGAACACTTCAGCCGCACAATCCTCTGTGAGGCCAGGGGTTCCCGGGGCCAGAAACCGACCTGTTCTGAGTGTCTTGAGAGGGGCTCATTTCTCAGGCATGGCTTGAACAGGGAATCGAAGGGGGACGAACCAAACAGAGTTGCAAGTGGCAATCGTAATTCTGGTTTTGAAACGGTGCGAGCATAATGCCACAGCAAGGGAGAGGAGAGAACGACGCGTACCAAGCGCTTCCGAGGCTGTGTCGGTGTCCCGCAACTGCTGCCATGCAGCCTACGATCAACTTGATCTATTGGGAATGCTTCAGGATCTTCAGAGCCTCGGTCTCGCAAAGCAGCCCAAGCCCGATCGAATCTGAACTTCAAATCTGTGGTTGGGATGCCTCGCCAGCTTCAGCTTGCAGGATTGGACTTGCTGGGTTTACGCAAAAGTGGTACCCCAAGAAGACACACACACTCACACAGTGGCATTATGTCTCAAAGCTCTAATAGACGAAACAGACGAACATGTGTATCTCTTTCGCATCGCCGCCGAGAAGGGTCGAGAACTCGGATTTTGTGCTTGCATGCTCTTATGACCCATAGTGTACTTGTTTCGAAGGTTGAAGTGGTTTTCTGATTTGGGTACTTCGGATGCTGTGTGACTCTCAGGTTGTGGCTGGAAACAGGGCTTGTAGGTGGCCTCTGCCCAGGGACTCCTTCGAGGACACTGTGGCAAACTTCGAGCGCTTGTCTGTGCGCCCGACCTGCTTTTTTTCGCACAGGGCTGTATGCCAATTGTTGTGTGTTGTGCGTTGAACAAGTTCCTTCATCCGAAGTCTCTCACTGCTTTGCGCTGTTATTCTTGCTCCTACTGGTTTGGCAACACACCGAACCCCGGACTCTGTACCATAGAAAGCTAAAGACCCTCGACCCCAAGAATCCTTCGCTGGCACCGCGAAAGGATGCTGAAGGGACCCTAAGCCGTCAGCAAGAACCCCTGACAGCCCTGCTACGACTTCATGCCAGGATGGAAAGCTGGAGGTTGCCGCAGCGGAGCTGATGAACAAGCTCGTTGCCCTCCTGCACGTGCCAAGCCTTGCAGATGGAATGCCGATGCTCGAGCTACTTGTACCGTTTCGGCAGCCGACCGTCAGTCTGCACAAAGTCCTTTGTTAAATTAAAGTACGTAGATGTCATCTTCTCAGAAACTTTCGGGGGTTTTGCGCCGTCTGAAGAACATCTGCCTTTGAAGCATCTGCTTGTCTCCCCTTCCTGCGGCATCTAGCTTGTGGGCGAACCGATAGCAGCATGTGTAGCCCCAATGATAATACACCACTTGCCAGTACCTTTCGTCGGGGTCAAGTCTGCATTGCCTATGAAAAACTCTCAACGTGATAATCGCACTCACTCAATTCTATTGCTAATGATCCGATGCTCCCGGGGCTGTTGCTGCACTTGTATCAGACATGTCGCAACATGTCTCATCACCGTGCTTTATGAGTAGCAGAATCGTATCTCTTCTTTGTCTCTTACCATGTTGCCTATTTGCTTTCCCCCAAGAGTTGTTTTTATGGTGCCTGAAAGGTGTCTGAAGAGAGACCGGCAGATCTTCGGGACTTGGGGTTTCGACCCGAACCTGCAATGCCCGAGGAAAGCACCAACAACTCAAGCACGACTCTAAAATTCTAGCATGGCTGTGCTTTTGCAACCTCGTCCAGGGCTTGTTTGAGAAGCTGCTTGGCACGCCAGCGAGATAAAGTCTACAACCAGTGCAGGTGCTGCTGTGCAGCATCTTCAGACACGGCAAGGCAGCGCACAAGTATGGGAAGGACCGCTCTGCATGAGACCAGGGTGCCCCACATCCCACCCCCAAACTGGGCTCGCTGTAGCTGGCAAACACGGTAGGTAGCACGATGCTACACCTGCTTTTGAGTTAGCGCGGTTTGGCTTCAGCGCGTATCCCGAAGCACCGGAACCTTCACCAGGTGTTGTGATCTCCACCTCCGATCCAATCACGTGACGCAGGGTGAACTCGATTCTAATCGTTGGCGAAAATCCTTGCGATTTCTGGGAGGACCCGGAAGAGAGTGCCGAGAAAGCAAACGGAGGCTTGTGTGGCACCAGTCGGGGAGATGTCAGTGTTCCATCGGCTGCGCTCACATCCACACGTGACACTCCAGCGAATGCGGAACATCCCAATAGCACCAGAGCTGCAGTACACAGGCAGTCCTAGGGCAAACAGCCAGCTGCATTGATCCGTGAGCAGTATAGTCTATAGAGTGTCTAGTCTTGAAAAAACGATTCAACTGACGCGATCGAACCTAGTAGTGAGGTGCACTGGCCCCAGCCACTAATGCGACAGCCAATGTGCTGCAGGCTTCACGGAGGCTGATGCGAAGTCGGCTGTTGACGGCCTCATGCAGGTGACAGCTAGCTATTACGACAGAGTATTCAAATCTCAGTATGGCTTAGCACTCTTTGTCAACCAAGCTTTTTGAGAGGTGCCTCCCCGGTAGGGTTGTGAAGCCGATCCATTCGCTGTAATTCTAACGCTAAGGTCCTGACCAAGGTCCACAAGATGTTAAATCCCTCCGGTACAGAGGACGGCGGGTCTGCGAGACGGGTGTAGGAGATGAACAGAGACGAAAGAGTGAAGTCGGGCTCTTTCGCTCTCTTCCGCGATTTGTGAGAGGACGACAAGGGACACGCCAGCTTCATGGCAGACTTGCTGGCCAATGATATCCGCGTCCTCTTCTACCTTACGGCTCTGCTGCTCGCTTTGCCCAGAAAACGGCGGGCCGCTGCTTCGAGGGCTGTTGCTCGAGCCGAGGCTGCGGGAGCTGGCCTGCAAGCCGCTGCAGTCGCCTTTCTTGCGTTTGACACGCTCCACGGCCTTCTTCGACATCCTGGAGTCCTCGGTCTGGGCCCCCGTCTTGCCTCCTTTTTGGTGCGAGGGGACGCGCGGGGCGTTGCTCTCTCTAAGGTGCAGCTGGCCTTGAAGCGCTTTCAGCGGGAGACCAAGGGCCCCATGCCGAAAGACCTCTGCGCCAACAAGCGCCTCGGCTGGTGCGCTGATCCTCCTTGCATCTCCAGACCACCTGGCACTGGCCACCAATCGCCTCAAACCCTTCTGCGCGAAGCACCTCAGCTGAGGCTCAAGGGAGGTCCAACAGACAGCCCGCTTTCGCAGCACATGGAGGAGCACTAGTACCTGAGCCCGAGAGCCCATGGCTCCTGGACTAGTCAAGTCTTAAATGCCTGGCCCTGCTTCAATCTGGAAAAAAGATCCAGCACGCAGGATTTCGACCTGGGCTTGATCTTTGAGCACCTAATCGTTTGCTTGAGGCACTCGCTCGTGCAGGCGGGGTCGCGGCGTTTCTCGTCGTTTCGGAGTTCAGAAAGAATCCGTCGTCCGTTAAGCAAAAAAAACGCAGCCGAGAAACATCCCGGCAAAGCACCCAAGTCCCTGCGGCTAGGCCCTGTACGTCGCGCCGGAAGTGAGCACGAAGCTGCTGCCGTGGGCATGGATCTCCCAGGACTGCGGTGGCCGGAGTTTTCAGGGATGTGCCGGTGCGATTTTGTGCGGCGCAGATCCAGAAGCTTTCTCAGGAGCGGCTGCCCATGCACAAGCACGTGATGAACTGGCTACCACAGATCGTGAAACGCTACAAGTCCATCCCTGCAATCTGGATGCGTGTAAGGAGTGAACTTGCAGGGAGGAGCGTGCGATGGCATGTCAACAAAACTTTATCCTTTAAATTCGAAGAAAGAGTGCAGTGAGACGCTCAGTGCACAAACAGTACCCAAGCCCCAAGCTTCCCAATACTCTTTGCGACAGACCAGGAATGCCTGCTCCAAGCCCATCTTCCCATACACCTAGGCAATTCGCACTGAGACGCTTCGGTACTTTGCCTGCGCCGCTTCCTACGAGGTAGCACCCTATGCACGTCCGGAGGACGCTGTGAATTCGACAGAAATTTTGTCTAGCGGCTAGAGGTTGAGGTTGCTGCTGAGGCCAGGATAAGCAGCGAGGATGATGCTTACTTGTTGAGAATTGCAAGGTATTGTGCCTGAAGATGTGGAGTCCAGCAGCCTTTGACATAAGATTTCCAGTCACTCCGAGATCCTTCAGATCGCAAAACGCGGGTTGCCCCATGCAATGCCGAGCATCCCAGACCTGCAGACAGATGCCTTTCTGGCTCCTGAACTCTACACCCGCCGACCATGATCAAAATCCCAAAGTGAGTCCCGAACCCAAAATGCAGATGTTGACTTGCCCTGAACGCCGAAGGATGCTGAATTGGAGTTCGAAGAGGAGGAGGGCGAGGTCAAGAAGGCAGCGCGGAGTGCACACAACTTTTCACAATTTCTGTAAGCTTGCAGGGTGCACTCATGCTCCAGACATCAGTCCGGCCGGCTGCCAACGCAAAAGCATCGCTCTGCCATGGCAAATACTGTACAAGCAAAGACCAGCCCTGGGGCCCTAGAGATTGGAGACGCTCTCAGGGTAGCCTGCTAAGCTCCGGAAACCCAGGTATCAGAACCAAACCAAGTCGTCCAGACGACAACTTCGAAGGAGCCAATGCTGCTCCAGCAGTCTTAGCTTCACTCAGTATCGTCACCTGCACAACGCTCCTATCACGTTCAGAGTTTCCCCCAGTCACCCTAGCGCCTGAGCGAGGTGAAAACGGATGTGGAAGCTGATATGGCCGCGGACATGACTGTGCCAGAAGCTGTCGACGACGACGACGACGAGGAGCTGGAAGCCTTTTAGCATCCGCACTCTGACGGCTGACGCACTGTCAGTGTCTTGTCTTGCGGGCCGGTTCCTCTTTGAACGGCGGGAAGACTTCTCGCGGAGAGTGGTGTTCGTAAGGCGAGAGACGGCTACTCGCGGAGTCTTTGCAGAGCCGGGTGACCCCCCAATCCTCAAATGTACAAGTGCTATCTCGTCCCACCGACGTCGACTATCGTATTGCCGAGCGCCCTCAAGCGTGTAAAGTCCTTCCGTTCCTGGACGAGTATGATTCATACAGTATGATGGCACTCTCGGCTATTCGTCCACTCCCTACGACCGGCAGACGAAGCCGAACATAAGGAGAAGATCAAACACTTTCCAAGCTCTATCCGCCTTGAAGGAAGTCTTGGATGTGTCCCCGAGCGAAGCTCTTGGGCCTCCAGAGGTCGCAGAGGCGAGACATCAGGCGGGCTGAGCGCCAAGCATTCGCCCCTTAAACCCTCTACACCCTAAACTCCTAAACCTCATAAACCCTATATAGTCAGATGAAGCCCAAGCGGGGCCTTCGGTTTCTGTGGAGGTCAGCGTGGAGTCCAGCGAGCCGGAAGGGCGCTTGGCCTTCGGAGGCTCGCTCTCTGTTTCCGGGGGGTGTGTGCAGCGAGCGCTCTTCCAGCAATGTAGCATGCGGAGAGTTCTTTTGGTTCCACTTTGCAAGGCCTGGTATCCCTGCGGCAATCTGAGCTGCGCCTCTTCCTTGCAGAGGAGCTGGAGCGGTCAGAGGCCGGAAGTCGGAACCGGACCCCAACTCCTTGACAACGGCCCTTCTGAGTGCAGTATCCCTCCGCCAGCCTTTTTTTTCTTTTAATGCTTAGTTGCATCCGAGAGCCCCAGGACATGAACGCCCTTTGCTTGGCCATGCTCTGTGTGGCAAACTTTGCGGCCTACGAGCGGAAAGTCCTGGCGGATGAGAAGGGGGGCCAGAAGCTCGGGAAGTATCTGCCGCTGGAGGACTCAATACATTATATAATATATACTATATACTATATAACATATAACATATAACATATAATATATAACATATAACATATAGCATATACTATATAATATATAATATATATAACATATACTATATAACATATAACATGTAACATATACTATATAACATATAACATACAACATATAATGTATAATATATAATATATAATATATAATATATAATATATAATATGTAAGAGCTTTCGAGCCCGAGCCGGAGCCCCGAGCCGCTGTGGCCACCGTAGGACATGGCTCGTCTTCTTCGGGGCGTGGTGAGAACGCTGAAGTCGATCCCCAGCCACATGGCCTTTGTAAATTCCGGGTGGGAGGAGGCTCTTACGGTTTGAAGGGGCATGGAGGCTAACCTGAGGTTTCAAGCTCTGGAGAAAGTTGATTTTGATTTCAGGTCACCGAGGTAAGTCATGCCATGCCAGTGCATTCGAGGGTGTTGGAACAGTCTCCGGACTCATCAGATATGGAAGCAGCTCACTGTAGTTGTCAGTTTTACGACTTGAGTTTTCCTGCAGACTGGTGAGGCTTTGATGACGACAATGTGGCCAACACCATGACCCTTCATGCCCTTCGCTTCTTCTGCCGCTTGCCTTTTGCAAGCGGTGCCGGCTGTGAGTAAACGCTTACGTTTCATCACCGTCTCAAGCCTCTGCACTTCACACTAAGCTGGCAGCAATGCTGCTGCTGCTGCTGCTGCTGCTGCTGCTGCTCCTGCTGCTGCTGCTGCTCCTGCTGCTGCTGCTGCTGCTGCTGCTGCTTTCCCTAGGGTCTGAGTCGTCTCGAGTCACTCCTCCTCTGGCTCGTGCTCGGCAGCTTTCCTTACAGCGCCATGACTAGTGCGACCATCGGCCAGGTCTCAGTAAAACGCCAGAGCAGTGCAGAAGTGCCACAGTGCATGGCTCCTCTCCTACTGAGGCAATCTCCTGGCCTTTGAAGTCGATTTCATCACTGCCGAGCTGCAGCATCTGAATGCTGCTTGGAGCCAGGGGAGCCTGAAGCATCCTCAAGCTGTACCGATATCCTTGGATGTTAGAACGAAGATCTTGGTACTGGACTCCTCAATTTTCAAACTCCCCCTAAGTCATTCCAGAAGATAAAAGCAGGTTCTCTCGGTACTGCGAAGACAGATGCGCCTGTTCACAGTCGACAGGTAGCTTGTAAGGGTTGAACCTATCCCCCGCTACAAGCTCAAGGTGCTAGAAGAAGTGGGCAAGCTCTTCGACCATTGGTTCAAGGATGAGGCCTGGAAGACCTGTGGACGGCGCTCGCACCGTGAGAGTCCAGAGTCAAGCTGCACAGGACAAGATTGAAGATGACAAGCTGTTCCTTCAGACGCTCCAGAGCTTTATCCTGCTCCTGAGGTGGGAGATCAGAAGTCGCACTGAGCTAGAAACGCAGAATCAAGTACACTTTACCCAGACGGATTCCCATTGAACTGACCCAGCCTCCGCTCCTTCACCTCTGAATTCTACTCAGCCTCTGGAACGAGTTCTCTAGTGTGACAGGAACTGGGCCTGCGGCAGCTGCCGAGCAGAGACTGGGCCAAGTCGTCAGAAAAGGCTTTCCCCAGAGCAGACTTTGAAGATCTTGGAAGGTCTGGACTAGCTTGTACGCAGAACCAGGCTCCGATGTTCAAAGTTGACCAGCCTTGGGGGATCAAAGGAGATGAATGTCCGCGAGAAGAAGGAGAACGGAACGAAAGAAGAGAAGGAGACTTCACACGATACAAGGTTCATAATTGGCAAGAGTCTGCTAGGGCAGTGAGCACCGATGTCGTAGGAGGAGTTGCTGGAAAACGGATCGTTGCTTCAGTTCCCTGCGTAGGACTCCGCGACGAGCCTCCTCAAGGTCTTCAAGCAAGGCATCAATGTGCCCTTCCTCATTTCTCTGACCATGAGGTGCTTTGGGCTGCAGCCAACCTTCCCAAAAAGTCTAGTAGGCCCCTGCACAAGACGGCACAAGAGACGTTCAGCCAATGCACATCTTCCTGCGCCACGGAGATCCCGAGATCTGCGGTCCCAGGTTCTCGAAGATCTTGATCAACGGCCGCCGCCCCATCGAAGGAAAAGCGCAGCACCGAGCAAACGTCATCGTCGATGCTTCTCGGCTGGAGTACCGAAGGATGCCAGGTATGCAGGATTGTGCTTGGGGGCATGATCTCGGCGACAGCTTCGGCGACAGCTCGTTCTTGATTTCTAGATTAGTGCAAAGCGCAGCCCTCACGTGAACACTCAAGGTCCTGGTGATCCTCCAGACGTTGCTGAAGCGCACAGACCTGCTTCACAACATGGACTGGACCAAGGCCGGCCAGCAAGCTGCAATGCAGGGGCTTGTCGGCTGTGTTGACGTGTTGCACCAGGTCGACATCATCGATTACGAGAACTTCCTACAGCTCGTGAAGATGCTCGGCCTCAGTGTATAGACCTGACTCTTAAGGCCCCCTGAGAAGCATGGATGCTCAAATGGTAAGTTGTATTTCGTTTCTTCTCGCAGCAATGTAATGTGGAGAGTCGGGTAGAGGTTCGCCACAGCCAGCCCAAGCGGAGATCGGTAAGCCAAGAGACAAGGACGTACCGCCTGCGAGACTCGGAGATCCTGGAGGATGAGCAGATCCTGAACACGCTCTACCTCATGGCGCCCGGGGGGCTGTTCATGGACTCACGGCAGGTTGATGTTTACGGGCTTTCGGAGCAATCCACATTGGACAGTCATCCTCCGAACTGCCGGGGGGGGGGAAGGGGTTCAGTGGAAACTGCCACTGTGTTTTGCCATTACTATGTCAATCTATGTCACAAGATAGTGGAAAGCATTGCTGTCTTGTGGCTCCTCGCCATCATGTCCCAGACGCTGCCAAAATGCGCGAAGGTGAAGCAAGCCTTCCCTTTTAAGGGCCTCATCTTCCTGGAGTACCTGTCACTGGGCATCGGATTAGTTTCATTTGGAGCCTGACGTGCTCTTGGATGGGGCTCAGGATGGAGGTCGCCTACGGCGACCACCGGGAGGAGCACACAACACTGCAGGACATGGCGGCTGTCTGCTGCGCCATCATCTCTACGCAGAGCCTCAGCTTCAGATGGTCTCTAAGATCTTTGTGCCCGAGTCCCCACGACTTTTTCTGCTTGACTCCCTGACCTCCAGCGCACAGAACACAGTTTGAAAAGGAACGCCACCGACGCCAGCACTCCCACCGTGAACGTGGCCAGCGTGGTGAAGGACAACGCGGCGTTCGTCCATGCCCTGTGCCTTGGGTCATGCAAGTACCTTTTCGTGCTTTTCGTGACTTCGCTAAATTTGCTAGAAGCGAAAGCTATCTTGCATAGAGGAAAAGCAGAGCTCATCAAATCTTGTTCAGAACTTGCCGTTGACGTCTCGCGTCTAAGCGGCCTTAGTCAAAGCACAAGAACCAGAGCTCCCAGGGCCCGTGTGCCGGATCCCAAGATGCAGATCTGGCACTACCGCCTCTTGACGGGGTGGAGCCGGCGACCAAAGGCCTACGACGGGCCAGAGAGAGGTTCTCGACATTGATGTCTGGAGTGAGTGTCGACCTGGGGTGCTCTCCTGCCCACGAAAACGGGTCCCTCTCGCCTTCTTTGCCTCTCTTTGTCATCAAAGCTCCGGGCCCCAGTCTACTGCACACCTCTCTCACACACAGCTCCGAAGTTTATATTCAAGCTTAAGGCTCAGTGCACTGCTTGGTGTTGTTGCACGACTAGTCAAACATCATGAATGTTTCATCGTGCCCATGCTTGTCAGGTCCTGGATGACCTGGTTGGAGATGCCGAAGCACTGAAGCTCCCTAGCGAACGGTTTGGCGCGTGATGCTGTTACAGTGGTCACTTGTAACTTGAAGGGTTTTGCACAATCGCATCAGGAAGGACAGGGGGAAGCTCGTAGCTGTGCTGTACATGTACTGGAGCCGTTTCCTCCCCATGGTAGAACTCACACTTGGCATGCTTACAGTTACAGGCATGGTTGCTGAAAGAATCTTTCTGTGCGGTTCTGCAGCGTGTATCAGCAACTTCTTCAGTGTGACTGAGATGAGACTGGGCTCACTCTTGACTTTCCGGGATCGAAGTTTACGAACCCGGGGGACCGAAGGCATGAGTCAATGTTGCATCACGGGCACAGTCGGTTGAAGGAGTTTGCAACGGTCAAGGTTCATTGTGGACCACCTGCTGGAGACGCACCTCTGTCGATACAGCGTGGTCATCGTTCACAATATCAGCATGCACCTCGACGCTTCAGACGCAGACCTATCCAAGAACAGCAGACTGTCTTTCTGATGGCAACAGCAGACTATATAGGTTTTCCCGACCTGCATCTAACCCAAGAAGCACAGGAGAGGCAGAGGATGCAGTGCGCGGTGTGGCGTGTGACTGGTGAACGACACGCTTTGCTTCATTCAACACGCCGTGAAGCCCCGCCATTCTGCTCCGAAGAGAAAGTGGCCCTGAAGGCTGCGGAGCGGGGCGCTGATCTCCAAAGAAGGGCACCTCTCCACCATCTGTGAGGCCCACGGATCGTAGTCATAGTCATAGTCGGCTTTAAGATTTGCTTGTTGGGACAGTTCGAGGTTCTGTGCTCTTGCTGCGTCATGCAGCGATGTCAGTGGAGATAGTTCAGACCGAAGTCCTTCCTGAAGCCCAAAGCAGCCTCGTCGGAGGCCTACCGTCAGCTCAAACCTGGCGCCACACTGCACCGTGCGGACGAGGACGCCGAAGGGCAAAAAAGCTAAGGAGATGGGAGGGTCCGGCAGGTTGTGTTTAAGGTTGAGATTTGCGTTTTCATACGGCATCAGCAAGATGCGCCAGAGTGTCGAAATCAAGTACCCTGAGACTTCTGGTGTCATCAGACGAGGTTTGCCTCTTGGGGAACATGTACATACATTACATGCATGTACATGGCACGCGGTTCGATGATTACTTGCCTTCGACTTGGAGTTTCCTCATTGTTTTCGTTGTGACCTGACCGCACAGTCGCGGCGAAAGTCTGGAGGGTGATTCGTTGACCCTGCTGCCGGCATGCATATGCAACTGGCTTATGTTTTGTGTCGCCCTTTGATGGATCTGTTTGAATATGTTTGAATCTTTCGTTTGGGGGAATCTGTCTGGGTATTTTGGCTGCTTTGTAGGTGTTCTATTGCTATGGGAATGACTCGGAATAGCTGATGGCCCTCGTTGTCAGATTCCAGGAGTTCTTGTAAAGATGTTGAGCGTGCTATCGGCAGTTGGTCGGCATGGAGGGCCCGAGGTTGTCTTGGTCGTGTCGAGAGTTGGTGTGCATAGTGTTTCTGATGTGTGTGCGTGCGTGGTTGTGGATATTGCCGCTGCTGGCTTGTAAGAAAGGGGTTCGACTGTGTTGTTCAGTGGAAGTGTTTACTGCCACTTCGTTGTCTTCTGACGTGCCTCTACCGAGAAGGTGCTCCGTCGCTGACCTGCATGTTGTCGGCACCTCCCCCCCCCCACTGAGGATCAGCGTCGGCTCTTGCGCCGCCTCCTGCTTGCCAGTGTACGGAACTGCTCCTCGACCTTTCCGACAGCCTCATAAATTTGGAGGCATTTGGACTCGAAGGCTTTTTGATTTTTCCAACCACGTTACTGCAGCAAGGTGGTTCGATGGAATCTGTTTTTGTCAGATTTGAAGGAGTGCCGGACATCGGAAACAGGCACCGTCCAAGAGGGCCACGAACCTGTCAAAGACTGCAGCCAAGGTTTGTGGAACTCCTCCGAGATCCACAAGGAGCTTGCGGAGAGCGATGCCTGGCGCAGATAGGTGTGACGAAGCATGACCCTCCCAACTTTTACTGCTGGGATGTCAGAGAAGTCTTGGCCGAGGATATGGGCAACATCATCCACCTGGTGTCGTGCGTGGAGGCGGGCATGTGACACCGAGGGAGATGATGTAAAGGAAAGCTAGCCGCAAGGAGCCGGACTTGCCGTTCTTCATGGCCATGAGCCTCGGCACACAAGTTCACGGCTTCTTTCTTCCGACGGGATCTTCCAGGCGTGTTTGCTCTTCGAAGATGGAGCATGAATTTCCAAGCTGGAGAAGCTTGCAAGCTTGGGGATCTTGTGTTGTCTGCTGAGCGAAGTCGAACACCTCGCCTTCCGAAATTCCAGCAAAGCACCCTGCATCTTTGTTCCACCCACCAAGGATCATGTACATCTCGGAAGGCTGTAACATCAACCGTGTCCGGCAAGTCATGTACGGCCTCTGGGCTGCACATCGGGTTGAACATGTCGCCTGGATGTGGACCTAGACCACTTGGTCAAAGGGGTTCAAGGATGCTCACGGATGAACAGATTGAAGCCTGTAGCTTGACTGCTTCACGATGCATGGCAACTTGAGCCATGACATGGACCAGGGCGGTCCAGGGGGGTTTCCCCTCGAATACATCCTGACGGCAAACTGGTCCAGGGCGACATCGTGCGTACTGCACGCCAGACCAATCTCATTTACTCGAGTTGCAACATCTTGATCCTAAACTCTTGCCAAGGCAACGCCCAGATGCTGGAGCTCTTTGTCCGGTGCATGTACCAGCAGGTCAGAAAAGACTGGTGCAAGGGATCGGAACCCTGCACCAAGAGCAAGCAGTAGCTACGGCGTGTAGTGGCAGATGCCAGGTGGCATCCAAGTAGCGAACTTCCGAATTCGACGGATCATCCTGTCTCTTAGAGATGGCAACTCGCTACGAAGCAAGCATCCGTCATGAACAGTTTCGGTCGGTTCGCTTCTGTCATGCACCTTTTCCAGAACTCAGACTTGAACCAGAATGAATGCTTTCGAAAGTCCGACAGGTCACTGCGTGCGTAGTGAACATGGACGCCCCGAAGTTCGAGTCCAGCCTGTATGGCCTCATTACGGAAGAGGATCTGGGAGCTGGGGGGTCATTGGAAGAAAGCACTCTGCCTTGAGATGCCCCGAGGGACGTTTCCAGGGCTTCCGTCTTTCGGAGCGCAAGCCGAAGGTGGATCTCGACTCCCAAGCCAAAAGCAGTAAAGGACGAGTTCTCTCCCAGCTCAATTTTCCTGCAGGAAGCACGGCGGGCAGAGCAATACGAGGCCCTGGTGGAGCACCAGGATGCCATCTCCTCAGCACCCAAGCGACTTGGCCTTGGCTGAGATTTGGAGGTAGCGAAGCTAGTGCTATCGCCATGATTCTTGCGAAGGCTTTGATGACATTGGGCTTTGGAATTAGGTACGATCTACCCGCAAGCTGAAGCCCAGACCGGAAGAGTCTGTTGTTGAGATCGAGATCCCGACAAGGGCCTTACTGAGCCCCGAGCAGCTCCAGTCACCCCTGCCCACCTCACTGCACGCTTGTCCCAGTCCCAGGAAGCAGACGGAGGCCTACAAGAAGCTCCTTGCGATCCCGGGCTCGCCGGCCGCCCGCGGCTTGGGGAAGACCGCAAGCCTCTACCAGAGGCGACTTGCGCTTACTTGGTGAGGTTTCTACGAATCGACTTGTTGGAGTGGCAGGTTGAACCAAGTCCTGTCCTCTGAAAATTCGGCCCGGACCCACACTCAACCTGCCTTCGCAGATGTGTTGGAGCTATCCCAAGAGTAGTTGGAGAACGAGTGTCGGAAAGTCACACAATCACCCCGAGACCAGCTTCTAGCAGGGTTGGGTTATATGTTGGGTCAATGGGCCACTCTCTTGCATCGGAACTTGCAAGGAGCCGGCGCAAGGGACTCCATCCTGTCTCAGCAGCATCTTGGCAGTTGTCGGCTGCGAGCCGCCGCGAGCTCTAAGCCATCAACAAAACCCCAAACCGTATTGAAAGCCCTGAAAAATGCAGACTTCGGCACCGAGGAGCGGTGGCTGCAATTTTCAAGTGTCAAATCTCCGAGGCAAAAGGCGAAATCGGGTCCTCGCTTGGCGGCGGCGGTGGTGGCCGAAAGTTCTCGGAGGCCTTGATCCGGGATCTTAACTTGAGGGAAAAGCGCGCAGTGATTCACTTCGAGGCGTCCATTCTGTTGGCAGCACGGCTTGCGGCCATTTCGACTATCCTCGTTGATGCTTTTCTTCCGGTCATAGACTCTCGAATCCTCTCAGACAGTCTCACCAAAGTCCGAGACTTAAGTCCGGCCGAGCCGTGACTGCACAGGTGGAGGAGAGGCGCGGGCAGCAGGAATTCCTCTACTTCTCTGCTGTGGAGCTGCTTACCTTCGGCACCTTTGCTGGGGATGCTTGGCGACGTTGCGACGTAAGCCCACGCCTTTGCAGCTGTGTAGCCGAACTGTTGCACTGTTGGACTTAGGATGAGCATGACCAGAGGGACCCTCCCCCGGAGGAGGCCGAGCCACACAGGCACTGGGGGCACAGCCACAGCGAAGTTTGATGGAGCTACAACTTGATTGCTCTTTGTTCGCTGTCCTTCCCTGGAGGGCGGAGGTTGTCGAGGCGTTGCATGCAGCCTTCAGCAAGTCTCCGGGACGATTTATGTGGATCTTGTTTCGTGATTCGCCTGAGACCGAAGTTCGGGAACTCGTTTTGCTCAGGCAGCATGTCGGGTAAGACAGTTGTTATCGCTTGTTAGAGTGTTTATAGTGGCGGTACAAGCTGGTTGTGAACTCGAAGATGATTCGGGTTTGTTGATGCAGCTACGATGATGTAAGAGCGACTGCCTTGACCAGCAGATATGACAAGAGCTGTCGAGGTTCCCAATGGCGAAGTTCCTCAAGAACTTGGCAGAGCAGGTATCCCCGTCCACTCGAGCTGAACTGGAAACAGTCCCTTATATCTTTGCGGGTATTTGTCGCTTGAGTCCGGGGAGTTGCAATAATTCCGAGCACGCAGCTATGTCTGCGAACATGGCCGCATCACCAGACGGGTGGGCGAGTCGATGTCCCTAGATCTACAGACTGGTGCTCGAGTTGGTCAGGAATGAGAAAGTTTCGCTTCAAACGAAATTCAAGCTTTCCATCTACGAAGACCAGGGCACGCATTTCGTGGCACATACTACACATTTGTGATGGGCAGGTGCAAAATCACAAGAACCTCAAGGTCGTGCTGTCAGACATGTTCGTGCACGTAACGACCAAGTTCCTGTGGCACTGCTGGACTCAGTGTTTCGGCCGCGACAGCTGGGCAACTTGCGGCGTTGGAGGTTTGATTCAAAGACGCCAGGAGCCCGCCCCCGACCCAAGGCCTGTTCGAATTGCAATTTGTTCGCCATGAACCGTTCTGCAGCACTCAGGCCTATCTTCAAGAAGTACCTAGACACTCCGGCAAACTTGCAGATCATCGCACAGCTCATCCCCTTCTTCATCAGTTGGCCGAACCCGGACGTTCAGAACATGATCGCTGAGGCGCTGAACAGTTCGGAGTTCCCGCCCAGTCAGGGTAACTCTGGGGGCCTTTAGACCCGAATTCAGCAGAGCGAGTGTGAGGCTGTATCTTGAAAGGTCTGCCTGTATGGAGGGCTCCACAGATTTACTTCTGTCTGCGACATCCTCATTGCCGAGTATCGGGAGTACCCGGAGCCGTGGCAGCCAGTTTACAAGAAGCGCCGATATTGCAGCCAGCAGAGAAGAGGTGGCCCTCAGCATGCAGCATGCGCATCTTCTTCATCTGCACCAAAACCATCATCATCATCATCGTCACCATCATCATCATACCATCATAATCACCATATCATCACTACCATCATCATCACCACCATCATCATCATCATCGTCATTATCACCATCATCATCTTCATCATCCTCATCACCATCATCTTGTGAAATCTCCCTGACTTTTGCACCATAGTCGAAGCTTCCGTGTTGACCTCCGTAGATTCAGAAGTCCATGTGCAGTGCGGTGTATAGGATCATAGATGCACTAGTATTAATACCGCCTGAATGCAATCATCGCCTTGAGTTCAAGTCAGAAAATAGCTAGTGTTTTCCGTGCTGTAGCTTCGGAAGCCGACATTTCATCATCATCATCATCATCATCATCGTCATCATCATCATCATCACCATCATCATCATCATCCTCGTCGTCGTCGTCGTCATAATCATCACCACCATCACCCTCACCATCACCCTCACCATCACGCTCACCACCACCATCATCATCATCACCCTCACAATCATCATCATCATCATCATCATCATCATCCATCATCATCATCCATCATCATCATCATCATCGCCATCACCATCATCATCAACATCATCAACATCATCATCGTCATCATCACCACTATCACCATCACCACACCATCACCATCACCATCACCATCATCATCATCATCATCATCACCATTGCAACCACCCTGAATGATGCGGATCCCGGTGGCCACCAACCCCGAGGCTTCATAGGCGCAGAGCCCCCTCCTTTCGGAATCCTGAAGGGAGTTCTTCCCTACTGTATGCTTCATTTTTGTAGGCATTTGGGGCACCCGAACAGGCAGGCTTTCTCAGGTGGGCAGATTCGGGCTTGATCGTGTTTCAGCAGTGACCCAATACCCCTGAAACAACTTGTTGCACCTGTGACCAGCGGAGCTAGGCAAGGATTTAGGGTTAGGGTCTAGGGTCTAGGGTTTAGGTTCGCCCGGCATGCGAACTCGAAAAGCATGTTATCCGCAACCGTTGTCAGGAAGAGTGTCCCAAGTTTTAAGATCTCAGTTGTAACCCACTCCTAAGCTGGTCTCCCGACCCAGGGTGAGGCTGTGTGGGCTTGTAGCTCTTGAGGATCCGGTTGCAGGTCGATTGCGGATGAGAATCAGATAGAAGGCTTGTCCCTCGACCCGTGCCACATTGGTTCTCTGCGCCCCGTTGCAAGCGACTGCCAGAACCAAGGAACTCTCGTGCGCCTTGCTTACGCGCTGCTTGATCAGCCCCATCGAGGAGACAGGGCTAAAGCCCAAGCAGGCCGGGAATCCATAAACCCCTGGTGCTCGCAAGGTATGATGAACCTGCCGACAACCACTGTAAAAGCTGACACCACGCCTGTTGCGGCGGCCCACAGCGACGTCACCCTAAGACGAAGAGAAGAAGAAGCGCGTAAGCCTCATCAAGATTCTAGTTGGATTGAAGCCCGAACAGCACTGAGGAATGATGGGCAGGCACCGAACAAGCAGTGAGCGTGCTGTGTTGGGGCTGCAAACCAGGCCATTGGCTTCCTGCGCATCTTCGTCTGCTTACTTCAGGACAGGGCTTCTCAGACGCGACTCCGATAGAAAGAGACATGGGTGCAGTGACAAAGATAAAGACCAGGCGCAGCGAAGCGAGCACCTGCCCTGGCCTTGGAGGAGCGTGCGTTGAGCCACACCGGGCTGAAGCGATTGGCTGTGGGCTTGGAGACAGCTCTGGTCATGGACAACCCGAAGGCAGCCTGTTTGGGCTTTCAACCGCAACAGCTTGAACTCCTCGCTGCGCCCCTCGCAGGGACTCTGCAGCATCCTCGCCCAACGAGAGCACGAGCTCCTTGCGGAGCTCTTGGAGGCCCCCCATAATTGACCGAGCGAGTCCCAAAAGGCACTTTAGGAAAGGGTCGTTCTAGAAACTGAAAGCGGTGCGCCTTCCACAGGCACTATCGCAGTTCAGCGAGTCAGCTCGCATCTCAGACGTGATGGCCTTCAGATCCTGAGTCTTGTTGAGCCGCAAGTTTCTATTTAAAGGGCCCGCAAGTTGGGGTCTGGTCAGCCTTCCTCCGAGACGGGGCAGTGGGGCAAAATCCCAAGCCATTCCAAAGCTCGCTTAACTCCGGTCTCCTTGCGGTTTCTGAAGACGAACCGCGATCAAGTCCACAGGCTGCGGTGAAGCAGTGCATGGTTGTGGCACTGACGAGAACTGTGGGCAAGCACTACAAGGCGGCGCAGGGGGCTTTTAAAGCTTCAGAGAAGGAGCCGGAGGCGACGAAGCTGTGTTTCCTTGCGCAGCCCTCTCACCGGCCTAGGCCTAGGCAGTTCTTCGCTTTTATATCTTCCTTCACTTCTGCAAACAACTGTGGGCATGAATGCGCCAGGCATTGCCCGAGCTGGACGACTTCATCTTGTACACCGGTCACATTTGGAGTGTAGGTGTGGTGAATTTCAGAACAGCGCGCGTTTCGAAGGTGTGTTTGCAAGACGTGGAGACGGCGAATCTTCCATGCAGCTTCCTAGGCGCATCTTGGACATGTCGGTCCCTCTGCTGGATGCCGAGACGCGCCCTTAGCTTGACTCGGGTCTGAAGGCCCCACTTCTCTGCTATTGCTTCCCGCCATGTTTCACTGTCCCAAGATTTGAGTGCTCCATTGCCATACGGACAGCAGGGAATGCAATGCATGCGTGGGCAGCCATCGCATTAGAGCTGGGGTGCGAGGCGGTTCAGGCGCTCCAAGTTTCACTTCACCTTTCGATCTCCCAGGTTTACGCTCTATATGCCTGTGCTCTACAAGATGGCGAGCGAAGGTGGGCGACGCGCGACTGGATCGCAAAACCATCTAACTTTAGCCAGCGCGGCTTGACTCCTTTACCATTTCTTGATGGGTCGTCCTCAGGAACTACTGTTAGATTAAGGGGTCTTCCTCCGAACATGCCGTAGGATGCGACTGCACTTCAACCCAGCACGGCATATCGTTGGTCCTGCGCTGCATCTCCGCAGGGAAGCAAGGTCCAGGTAGATTGAGTGTGGATCTCCGGCTGTCTCTCTTCAAGATCCACTGTATAGCTATATCGAGGGGTCCGGCAAAGTCACTCGGTCTCCCAGGTTCAGGGGCCGATGCTCACACGACACATTCATCTTCGAGTGGCCCCGACCTAAGATCATGGCAGAGGATGGATCCCATTGTCGTCATCCCTCTACAGCCAGGGGAGTGCCGAGCAAGACCAGGGTCAGTGCATGGCTGTGTTTGCCGTTTCCAAGACGTGTTGCCGAAGTCGAGACGTTTGCCGAGTCACAGACGGGTTCACGGGTTCGCCAAGGCCCGACTTCTTGAGCAGGCCGTGGTGCGCGCCCCCAGAAAAGGGGGAAAGCACACATGGGCTTAATAGTTGCCAGTAAGTTTGCAGCAAAGCTCGCCGAGGCGGGGCTGGAGGCCGACCAGCAGAGCCCTTGGACGGGGGGGCCAGTCATAGGAGGGAAAGAGGGTTGCGGGTGAAGGTTCCCAGAGCTGATCCACTTATTAATGAAGGCCGCACAGGGAGTTGGGATGTTGTGAAGCAAGACGACACTACTCCGGGACTAAGCCATGTTTACCGTGGCTGGCGGCCAGTCAGGATTCTAAGTGTGTTGCCTTAATTATTCCTGCGCGGCTTTCCAAGGACATAACTCTGAGATCAGATGCCTTGATCGTGTGGACACCTAACAGCTTAGTTCTCGAAAACACGTCAGGCACAAGATCGAGGGTTACAACGATGAGGACTGTTGGCTCGAAGGCGTTCGGTCATATTTACTTGGTGAAATGCGTGTAGACCGCGAATTCACGAATCCTTTGAACAGCGACACGTGTGCAGAGTGTGCGGAACAAGATTCGTGCGCAGGACGAGGAGGCCCCGGCGGTGGTGGGGCCGAAGCTGGACAGCCGTGGCCGTATGCAGCTGGCCACCCAGAGAGGGCCAGGAAGCTTTCGGAGTTAGGGAGAGTTGTCGAGACTTCTCTTTTGATGATCCTGAGAGGGAGACTCTCGAGTTGCCCGAGAAGGTTGCTAGAAGCTTGGAAAAAGAGGCGCAAGATCCGAAGCACAAGAGCAAGCTAAATCTTTGTGCCACGTTTTCCCTTAGACGGCCTTCCCAAACTCGCAAGGTATGTAAGAAACAGCAGGAACAAGCCTCTGTTAGATGAATGATCGCAACACAAATCTGCAACAAATCTGAGGGCTTCACTAGTAGGCTACCAAGATCTTGTCATTGTTAGATTGCTAACAGGTTGATTTGAGTCACTGAATATTACTTACATTGTCCTGCTCTTATCAGATGCAACCCCTCCCCCCCTGGCCTCCTTACCCCCCCCCCCCCCAAATTCCCCCATGATAGAAGACAGACGGAAGCCTCGAGATGCTCACGATGATGGCAGTATTGTCAGAGCAGTACTCTGTTTCTGCAAATCTTGCATGTGCTCTCCCACGCCGTCATCAGCAGGAGGAAGTCTAAGAATCTGTGGCAGCCCGTCGCCAAGGTGGTGCTTAGC